GGGATCTTGGACGCCCGCGTTTTTGCATGTGTTCTGGGCCCAGCGATAGAATTTCTGATGGTGGGTTTCAAAGGTCGACACCTCCTCTTCTGTCACAGACTTGACCATCTCTGCGAGGTAGTGCTCAGCCACAGACTCGAGTCGATGCATTCGTTCAAGGCCTTGGGCGGTGTTAGTCTCGGGGCGAGGGAGCTGTCGATAATCTTCGGCGGAGAGGAAATCGAAACAAGGCTCATATTGGACCTTGTAGCAAATCTGGTCAGGCGAAGTGTCCTTCGAACCTTTAATATCGTTCGATACCGGCACCAAAGTGATACCACTGATGTCAATCAGCAGGTTCGCTGGGTTGCTGGGAAGAGTGGCGAATATGCGGTTGGTCTCTGGGTTGCTTGCGGATTCATCTCCTGACTTGCTACCATAGAGTTGCAGTACAGTGCCAGCACTGAGTTCTTGGCACAACGAAACGGAGACTTGCTTGACATGCGACGGCACATGGGTGACTTGTGGCCCCGGCTCGCCATAACCACAAAGGACCCACATGACTTGGCTGCAAAGATCAAGTGTAACAGGGTGCACAATACATGGAGTTTCCTGTTGATGGGGCATTGCTGCCTTTGTGTCTGGGATACGGAGGGTAGCCATTGCTTTCGCATCCCTGCTCACAGATACATCAGTCAGACCTTGGAAAAGAGGACCGTAATGGACACCACCGCTGGTGATGTTCTCATAGAGGAACTTGCTGTCCACGGGCACGTCGCATGAATTCCGCATGTCCAATGCTTGCTGGGTGAAGCGTGCGGTTTTCTCGAGCTCCTGTCGAGACCCATCCACAGGATTGACGTCCTTTTCTTGGTGGACCATGATGAAACCATTGCAGTGCTGATCCCACCCGCGGCCTTCGGCCCATGAGAAAACTTTGAACTCGTGCCACCCGAGGACTGATTTGCTGGGAGCTTCCGCTCGGGCTGGTTTCAGGCTGAGCATTGTCTCCACGGATGAGTTATCCGGGATGGCGAGGACACGGCTTATGAAAATGTCGCGGAGGTCGATCTTTCCTGGAGCAATATGGTGAAGTTGTGCGTGTTGTGATATAGCCTCCATAGCCATAGCCAAGAATCCGGTCATTGGGTAAACATTTGTCTCATGGACTCTGTGCTCACGGATCCAAGGGTGGTCCTCCGCACGAAGTATATTTCTCCATCGAGGCTCAAAGTCGACATTCTCTATGCACAATGAGCCGAGGATATCACTCCGAGCGAATTGGCGATGGAAATGGTTATCACCTATCCGTGAGCTGAACCAGTATCTTTCTGAGTGATTCCATGGGTATTTGGGTAGATTCGTCAAAACAGCTGGCTTCCTTATCGTGGTTTTCAAATTCGGGAAGTTGATAGCTTCGAAGTTGAGATTCATACCCTGCGTGAACAGCGAGCCAGCAAGGTTTTGGACAGCCTCGATGTCATCTACCTTGCGCTTCAAGGTGTGGAGGTATTGCACATTGGAATTCGGAGCGTATTTTTGGGCAATTTCCTTCACCGGTGATTGTAGGGCGGGGTGAGGGCCGATTTCGACTAATGTGCTGATGGGTGTATTCCCCTGCTCATCCTTGACAAGACTCTTCAGACCCTCCACAAACTCAACACGGGAGACCAGATTATCGACCCAGTAGGCGGCATCCAAAGCGCTCCCTGGAACCAATTTTCCATAAACGGTCGAATGGAATGGAATCCCGGAGTCCCGAGGCGCGATCTTGCCGAGCAGGGATCGATATTCTTTTGACACAGTCTTCATATGGTGAGAGTGGTAAGCAACTTCAACCTGCAGTCTTCGTGTGAAGATCCCTTCTTTGTCCAGAGCAGTCTGTAGGTGGCCGATAACCTCCGCATCTCCAGACAGGGTGACGCTTGACTCGCTGTTCACACAGGCAATAACTGCCTGGTTGCCTCGCATCGCGTCCAAGATTTGCTGAATGTCTGAGGCGCTAGCTCCGACCGCCAACATGCCTCCTTTGATAGACTTGTCATTTGCAACCAGGTCCGCTGCAGCACCACGAGAGTACGCCACACGAACACATTCTTCGAGATTGAGAATACCAGCCGCGTAAGCTGCTGCAATCTCTCCGCTGGAATGGCCGACCACTGCCTTGGGATGAATGCCCCAGGAGGAGAGCAAATCAACTAACGCTAGTTGAACCGCGGTACAAGCCGGCTGGCTCATGTATGCGGCAGAGATAGAGCTTGTGCTGGGGTCGGTCAAAAGCAATTCATCTAAGTGGGAGGTTAGACTAGCTCAACATCGCAGTGGGCAGTGTTGGAATTGGGACATACCGATAATTGAGAAAGTAGCACCGAGCGATTTCAAGCAAGTATCTACATCTTGCATGGTCTGTCTGAAAATCGGATAGGTGCCAAGAAGTTCTTTGCCCATACCGTGCCATTGCGCCCCTTGTCCAGTAAACACAAAGCCGACAGTAGGCTCTTTGGAAGAACGAACAGGCACTGCGTCAGTAGATAGCGAGGCAGTCAGCTCCTGTCCAAGGATTGCAGATGAGGCCAATCTCCATGGCAGGAATGTTCGTCGCTGTCCCAGCGTGTAGGCCATGTTATCCAAGGTGCTGTCGTTGAAAACCACTGGGTAAAGGTCGAGATACGCTCCAATGGACTTTCCAAGCTGAACAGTAGCTTGTTTATCGTACGCAGAGACCACATACAACTTGCGCTTCAGAGGATCGTTGTTCGCTGCAAGTTGGCCTTCGTTTCTGGGACCACGCTGGAGAATAACATGGGCATTGGTCCCGCCAAAGCCGAAGTTGTTCACACTTGCATATGGTTTCCCCCGAGGCCATGGCATCAGCTTCTTGGGTACCTAGTTGGGCGTTTAGCTAGGTTCGTTACTATTTCAAGTTGGTCCTCGGTCTCACCTTCATGTTCCACTTTTCCATTGGGATCGCATCGTTCGCCTTCTCAAAATTGCAGTTTGGGGGTACGAAGCCTCGCTCAAGTGCCAGGGCCGTTTTTATCACTGAAACAACGCCACTCGTTCCTTCCGTGTGACCAATGTTCGATTTGACAGACCCGATAAGCAATGGCTGACGCGGAGTTCTTCCTTTTCCAAAGACGGCGTTCAATGCAGTGGCTTCGAGTGGATCACCAACTTTGGTTCCCGTGCCGTGAGCCTCGACAAATCCTGTCAAGGACGGGTCTATACATGCCTCTTTATAAACTTGACGGATCAGTGCCTCCTGTGCCTTCCCATTTGGCGTTGCAATACCTCTGGTCCGTCCATCCTGGTTCAGGCCACTGTTGATAATTACAGACCGGATGGCGTCTCCAGCCGCCTCGGCGTCCTCGAGAGATTTCAATATAATACAACCAGCACCTTCACCTCTGCCAAAGCCAGTGCCACGGTGATCAAATGGGTATGAGCGACCAGTGTCGGAAAGTAATCTTTTAGGGCGGAGTAATTAGCCTATGTTTCTCGGGACTAGCCGATTTCACTTACCTAGAACGTGTCATGGAGACGAAAGGCTCTGGAATTATATTCAAGTGACATCCTCCCACGATGGCCATCGAACATTCACCGTTCCGTAGACTCTGGCAAGCGAGATGGAGAGCAGACAAGCTGGAAGAGCAAGCTGTGTCGACGGTCACACTAGGTCCATTCAAGTCAAAATAATACGAAATCCGATTCGCCTGCAATGCCATGGCCGTTCCGGTGGCAGCATACATGGGGATAGTTGAGATATCTCTGGTGTTGTTGATTTCATAGTCGGGATATGAGCCGCCGGCAAAGACTCCCACCTTTTGGCCGGTGATCTCATGGCTCGGGATTCCAGCGTTCTCGAGTGCTTCATACACACATTCGAGGAAAATGCGATGCTGCGGATCCATTGATCGTGCCTCTACCAGTGTAATGTTGAAAAAGGGCGCATCGAATAGGCCAATGTCTTCTTTCAGAAAGTGGGCTCCTACTGGGTTGAAAGAGCCTGGTCTATCGGGATCGGGGTGATAGTAGGCATCAGCGTTGAAGCGGGTCTCCGGAAATGGCGACCAGGCACTTCGGCCTCGAGAGCAGAGGTCCCAGAAATCTTCAGCCGTCGAAACCTCCCCTGGGAGGCGGCAGGACATGCCGATGATGGCTGTTCGCTTGGGTACATCTCCGGTGGCATTATCGGGGTTCTCACTAGGCATATCGTGCAAAGAAGCATTTGCGACCTGGGTGACTGGTGTTCCAGTCCCGCAGGGCTGTTGAAGGCGCATCTTTTGATAGATTTAGTGTCCGGTTTCAAGATGTTGAATTATGTACCTGGCAGTGTAATCACCACCAATGTCCAGCAAGTGTCCAAAGAAACAAATATCGATTTGCAAGAAAAGAATGTATAGAATAGTACAATCACGGAGGTTTCGAATCGAGCAAATTGGCTCACCCAAGTACTTCCTGAATGGCAGACAACAATAACAAAGGGCGTCAAAATAGTTTGTTAGTGTAAAAAACGCCCTTGCATGACCATCCAAGCGTGCGGGTGCCGATCTCCATATAGTGGCTTTCTGATTGAAACAGGGGATTTAACCTTGATTCAAGCAAGCAATGATAGGTCGAGAGAACTTGGAAAGGCTCGTGCCTATCTTCCTTGATGACGAATTAAGCAACTCGCAGGCACGTTAAATTGGATCCTCCGTGCATCAAAGCATCAACTCCACTCGTATCTTTTCACTTTTTGGCTTCCAGGCCTGCAGATCAGGATCAGTAGATCTGATCTTGCGCTCCAAGCCATGTCTTTCCGATGGTTTGGATAGCGTGTGGTTCCGGTGCCCTTGCTAAGGCGAGGGTGCGTACTTGGTACATTCCAACCACAGGGGCAAAACCCTCGAGATCCTGGCAGATTCCTGATGGCATAATTCGTCCGTGCCTCCTCGCGTAGACAGTATCTTTATAGAACACTCCGGCTGATATTCCATCTCGCGTTTTTCTCCGAAGATATTCCCCAGTTGATCATCGTGATGAAGTTTCTATGTCTCCCAGGAGGCTATTGCAGCGCCAAGGTGTGTCAAGCCTTTTGTCACGTGGTTATAAAATCATTTAGTTGACTCTGAATATACAGGCTCTCCAAACACAGCTAGGTATGCTGCAGTTGATGCGATGAACGTTGGAGAAACTAATAGTGGATCCAGGTCCGTTCGCTGATGCCCTCGCCTCCAATGGAAATGCCAGTTTCCACTACACTCAGGGAGCCACCGAGGTACATGTTCCCCCAGATTTCGCCGGGTTTTTCGGTCCACCACCCAACTATACCTTCATCAGGGTGGATGGGCCTGAACGGGTCCACGCGAACATGAGTGATTTCCCGAAACGCGACACTCCGGAAGAAGCAATCAAAGCCGCTGCGAAGGCGGCAGATGACCCCACATTCTCGTGTATCGTCGAGGTTGTCGACAGTCTGGTTGGCATTCTTGACAGTGAAAACGACATTGATGGTGTGATTGGCTTCTCTGAGGGCGCTCAAGTTGGCGCGTCGCTTATTCTCGAGGAGCAAAGAAGACAGAGAGAACTTGGTCGGATGCCTCGAATTAAATGCGCGATTTTTTTTCGGCGGATGGCCACCGGTGCATCCCGTGACTGGTCAGCTTCTTACGGCTGACGACTATGATGAAGAACCAATTACTATTCCCACCTTTCATGTTGTTGGCGCGTCGGATCCGTTCCTTGATGGGTCAATGGCGCTATACAATATGTGTGATCCAGACAGTGCTGATCTGTTTGATCATGGTGCGGGGCATTTAATTCCAAGAAAAAAGCAGACTGCTGAGGAGATTGCTTTAGTTGCGCGCGAGATGATCAACTCTATCGTTTGATTGGGGTAGCAATTTATATAGCGATATACCAAGAATCAATCCCTATACATTCCATATTCAGCCCGTAGACATCATTTGAGTCTACTCCAACAGCGGTCTTATCTCCTCCTCGTCTTCAGGCTGACCTTCTGTCCGACTGTACACAGGAAAGAGACCAACAAAGGACGCAAGCCCCAAATCCCAACCTCGCCGCCTAGATGATCTTTGCCCTTCCCCATCAAGCTCCTCATACTCTACCTCCTTCCAACGCCGTCGAGTCCGGCGCACAAGCCACACTAAGCCAACTCCTACCACGCCCAACACCAGCGTCATAAGCACAGCACCCATTACTGACAGAACAGTCATGGTACTAGCGTGGCACCCAAATGGCATAGCTCTCAACTCCCATCTCTCCTTGGAGCCAAGGGGGCAGATGTTTTCTGAGCCAAAGGGCGCAAATATCGGAACCCGCGATGGGTTAGGAACACAGGTCGAGGACTATACCATAGGAATCAATAGTCAGCTTCTTTCAGCGCGGAGGAGAAGATCATGGGTCTGAACGTGCTGATCAAGTCAAAGCAAGAGGCAATAATGGGGGGCCCGTGGGAGGTGTGGCCTTGAAGCCCCTCTCCCCGTTCTGGAGGCTAGGGACGCAAGGGAACAGGGTGTGAAACTAGTACTGTGGAGAGCATGCGCATGTGGAATGTAAATGACGGGGAAGGGAGAGAAGGAGAGAAACGTAAAACTTGACTACAAAAAGCAACGCTGGTCATAAAAGGATGTGACCTACTATGGCACACCAGCTGCAAGCATCACCAGTCAGGCAGCTTGAACACGATTGTCGACCCCAGCAAACATGGAAGAGCGGGTCGCTGGGATCAGGGTTGTTCAGGAAGCTGGAGTTTCCCTCGAGGTCGTCCATCACTATCCAAGGTATAATACCATGTAAGGTGCTCGTGATATCGGATTTTTGTTCCTGTCCTCGATTGTCAGCCTTTCCTCCCTTGCATTGAGACAACAGGGTTTGTACGTTGCCTCTACTCATATCGTGGTGAAATAAAGTAATTGCGAGAAATCCCTTGTCCTTTCTAAAGAGTTTCTTTACCCAAACATGTGACATTATCAATTTATCAATTGGGTTGGGTCGTATCTCCGCATTTTTTTTGGGTTGCGGTACTTTTACCAGCCACTGACTAGCATCCTCGGGATCAACTACAATACTACCAAGTATACCAGTCCACATGAAGGTCATATGGGTCACTGTGGTAGTACAGATGTATATTATATAGTTGCAAGATATCATGGCGTGAAAACGTGATAAATCTATTCTGGTAAATCGCGCTGAAAACGAACTGCTCCAGAAATACCCAAATCCACAATTGCCGCTCATCGATGCATAACAAAAGGGAAAAAAAAGATGTTTTTGATCAAGGAAAGACGGCAAATCCAGTTCAGACCACACGCTTGACCTACATATCGAGCATTAGTATCTCATCTTCCGGTGTCTCAATCAACGGAACCACACGTACCTCGAAGAATCTCTTGAGCCACCACACTTGGAACACACCCTCACCAATAACCACCATAAGCTGGAACATACTCCACCACTTCACACGGCCGTTGGTGCTCTCTGCAGTATTACGGTGAACTCGCTCACGCACGACAATGTACGATTGCTCATCCTTCACCTGCGCCAAAGCCTCGGAGAGTTTGCGAACTATATAGCACCATATGATCAGTCTCAATATTCTTCCGTCGGTTGTTGTTCCCTCGTGCTTACCTTCGACCTCGAGGGGATCCTGCGCCATCTCGTGCTCGGGCACATAGACAATTCCGTGGACGTTGAAGGAGACCTCCTTGGAATTCGAGGTCCAACCCTCGTTGCTGAAGCAGTAGTTGTATTTGCCGTCGGCCTGTGCAGTGAAGGAGTAGTCGTCGGAGGCAACGGCTTGCTTGAAGTACTGGCGGTTTCTCAGGGGATCCTCGACCTGCGGTGACCAAGCGTTAGCATTTGCGTTCTCCATTTGAATTGTCCGTATATCCCAATATAGCAGCTTGACTAGCCATGGAAGACGTAGGACTCTCGGTTTCTGGATCCGATCTTTCATCCCAGTGCCACCATCGGAGCAGAGAAGGACTCCCGAGCGACACCTAAATCACCCAACATCAAGACCAGGACCAGGACCGGGATAGTTCATACCCAGAAATCAACCTCAAGGTTTCCACTCCCTCCAAACTCCCGATCTCCAACCTGGAAAGTGACAGTCATGACATCGTCGCGGTGCAGTGCCTCGTGGAAGCATTCTCGTGTGTGAGCCTTGAGCTGGATGGTGTGTGCGGTCGCGGCGGTGATCCACCCCAGCGCGGTTACCAGGATGGTGGTTGTTGAAAATCGCATAGTGGAAGGGTTCAGCTGACTCCGATGAGTCTGGGGGAATTGACGAGTTGAGTGGTGGTGATGTTCGTTTGGCTGTCAACGCGCAAGGTGTCAATTGGCGGCGCTCGGACCAACTTTCAATAAACACCGCTCCGCCTTGAGATTTGGTCTTGGCTCGATGTGTACTGGACTCCAGTTGGTTGAATTCAAGATTTTAATATGATAATTGATCTTTCTATGTGTATTTGATGGTTGATTCCATCTGATCTTTTATGGAATTTAGATTTACTTGAATGATCATTTGAAATCTTGCAAGTATACTGCAACATATATATCGTTGCCCTATGCATCAACTACGAACATACAACTAACTATGTTTGTGCTAAAGCAGTAACAGAAAGTTTCAATTGACCAATTTTAGATACAAAGTGAGAGCACATCACATAGTATATTCAATGAGCAATAGGGGATTCACAGCAGAGATAAGTGAATTAGACATAGTCAAACTTGATTGTACCCGCCAGCTAACTATCTCACTAGATGGATGAGATGCTTAATATCTGCTTATATGTAACAATTGCAACCACGCCTCTGTGTATTGATGCATCCCAGCCAATACCAGATCTGGTCACTATAGATTAGGTGTCTGTTGTTGTATGACCTGCCTATACAAAAGAGACTGAAGTACCTCGCAGGCACTTATATGAAATTTCAAATTATATATACAATGATACTAGGTGCTGTCTCTCTTGATATTCTTTAACACTTTTATCAAATGAAATGAACTTCCTTACACTATATATATCTTCTTATATCTTCCCTAACTAGTTTGAGGGTTGATAAAATTCATATCCTACGAGGTGGTTAAGTATCACGAAAATACGTTATGACCAAGGGGCGTAGGAAAGGGCAGAGAACTCTATTCGTTTCATGATGCTGTTTCCTTCAGTTTTCTAATTAAGAGCGGCCCGAGTTTCAAGCCTCAGATATAAAAAGCAGACACATGTGCTAGCTATGTAAGGCTAAACCTGCGTGACCTTGTTTAAGGATATTATTTATTATTATAACACGCTTCGCGTCTTGGCATATCGACGATGGTTGTCTCCAATGCCGCTCATGTTATTTCAGGCACAAGCGCCGACGTCATACATCAAAACCAAATCCGTGCGGTAGACATTTCACAGTAGGGGAGTTTGTAAGGCTTAGGACTTACTGAATGTATTTGGAAATAGTAAACACTTGAATAGTAATAAACTACAAGAAAACGCAACGGGAAGCGTGTATCAACAAGCTACATCCGACAACGACATCACAAAAAGGGGGGACATGGATGGATAATATAGAACAATCAGAAAGTAAAGAATGACACAGATTGACTATTAGTATGTATAGAAGGGATGTAAACGATAGGACAAGAGAAGGAAAAAAAAATGTAAAGTAGGATATTCAATGTACAAGACCTTCGGGGGAGGAGATGGGAGGTAGAAAAGCAAGCGAAATAACGGTGTGGTATCAAATCCGAAAACGCAAACATTGATCAATGGCCACGAAGCCGGAAGATAGGTATGTATGTCGAAAGGGGGAATATGGATGTAACGAGAGGAGAGAAATCCGGGAAATTGGCGGCTGGCACCAAACCCAGAAATAGCAGTAAACGATAAATGCAAAGATATCACAGATCGATGGTTCGTTCTGTAGCCGTCTTTCAGACGGGAAAAAGAAAAAAGAAAAAAAAGCAAAGAAACACCGAGATGAGATGGAAAATTCAAAGAAATCTATGAGTAACGATCAAGGGCAACGGGATCACTCTTCCTCAGTAGAGGGTTCGTCGGAAGAGGAGACGTCAGCTTCAGCGTCGGCTTGAATATCGCTTTCTTCGGCTTCAGCCTCATCGATCTGAGGTCCAAATGGACCCTCATCGTCTCTCTCCCTCGGCGAAGCCGACACCATCCCGTCAACGGTACTCTCGTTTTCATCCGCGAAGCTCCCATCTTCGTAGTTCGCCGGCTCAGCGTCATGGTCATAACTCGAGCGGCGGAGAAGAGGTGGCGTCTGAGGTTCCGTGATAGGTGCCTGGCTGCGAACCGAGCCGCGTCTTGGGGTTGATTTGAAGCCTCTCAAAGGGCGAGTTTGCGCAAACCGCGCGGCAGCACTAGTCTGCGAGCCAGTACCGTTCTCTCGGACATGAGAGCTCGGGGGTGTTAGAAGGCCTGACAGGAAAGCGCTCGCGTTACTGGGCTTTGATGGGGTCTGCTCAGAGGTGTTGACGGCAGATTCGCGGCCTTTGCGCCAATTTCCCCAGGCGGCGGCTGCAGCTAGGGGGAGGGAGCGGGGTGAGGCGGCAAGGTTGGCGAGGGAGGGGAGGTTGCCGGTTGTGAGGCGTTCCTTTTCTTGCTGCTGCATTTGGAGGTTGGCCTTAAGGCGGATGGCTGCGTCGCGGACGGCTTGCTGATTGAATGAGGGGTTGGACACGGTCTGGATTATGTCTTGCAAGTCGTCGATGCGGACGCCTAGGAGCTCACGCAGCCAGGTGATCTCGGTATCCTTTTCCTTGATCTTATTTGGCGCGTCTTTATCTATCGTACCGACTTCTTGTTCGAGCTCCTCGATGCGTGTCTCACGCTGCTGGAGCTGATCCTGGAGGACGAAGATCGACTCGCGCAGCGCTTGAGGAGAGATCCGTTCGGGTTCTTCAGATCCCTTGTTGTAGGACATGGACGGCGTCGCTCGCGAGTGCGAGGGTGAGGCAGCCGGGACTGGGCCGGGGATTGTCTTGGCGCTGTGGGCTGCTTCGGCAGCAGCACGGGCAGCAGCTTGAGCAATCTCTAGCTTCTCTTCAAGGAGGTTCACGCGCTCTTGCAGGTGATTAGCCTTGTCCTCGGACAAAGCCATGCGCTCCATGTTGTGACTCTCACCGCGTGCACGATCCTCCGAAGAATTATGCAAAGCGCGAGCGTGACGTTCACGCAGGTCATTGAGAACGCGCTCATGAATTTTGCGGTTCTCATCGATGGCAAGGTCCTTAGCAGCCAGGGCGGTGGCCTTCGAGTCCCTGGCTTCCTCGAGGAGAAGCTCGTAGCGCTCGCGAGAGGTATCGGTATCCATGCGGTTGTTGTCAAGTTGAGTCTGCAGACGAATGATTTGGGCCTCCAGCTCGGCACGCACAATGTTCACCTGGCTGTTAGAAGCTTCAAGGTCCGCCTCCATCGAGGAGCGAGTGCGCTGGATCTCAGCGCGGCTGCTCTCACGGGCTTCGATGAACTCTCGCTCGAACCGGGCAGACTTGATTTGCAGCTCATGGTTCTCCGCTCGGAGATTCGTGACCAGTTCCTCCAGTCTAGCATTTTCTTGCTGCGATTGCTCATGAATGAACCTCAGCTTTGTGGCCTCCCGCTCGTTCTTTTCGAATTCGCGGACGTCCTCCTCGAGCTTCTGGCGCAATTGGAGCTCACGAGAGTGTGAGGCGCGTAGCTCACTGTACCTAGCAGAGTGGTCTTCCTCCTTTCTGCGCCAGGCAGCTTGGTCGCGAGTAATCTCGGCAGTGACATTGAGCATGTCATCTTGAAGACGATCGAACTTTTCAGTGAGGTTCTGGCGCGAGATCATGCTGTCCTCGATGCGAGTTCTCAGGTGATCAATAGTCTCATGCAAAGACTTGTTCTCACCCTTAGTAGTTTCAAGTTGACGGCGGAAGCTATCGCTAGAAAGACGGTACTCGTCGAGGGTACCCTCAAGCGCGATGTTCTTCGTGGACAGTTCGGCGATAGTAACCTTGAGAGTCTCGCTCTCTTCCGAAAGAGACTCAGTGCGGAACTGCATCTTTTCAAAGTAGGGAATCTTCTCTTCCTTGAACTGGAGGAGACGAGACTCAGCATCCTCTGCAGCAGCACTGTGACGAGCAGCGTCTTCTTCAGCAAACTTCAACAGTCGCTGGAGCTCAGTCATAGCATCCTGTGCATCGCGGCGATCCTTGTACTCCTGCTCGGCACGCTCATCAGCAACTCGCAACATGCCCTTGAGGCCGTCGATCTGGAGCATAAGGCTGTCGGCACCAATCTCCTCGGCTTCTGATAGGCGCGGGCTCGGGGGGCTTCTGCAAGGCGATCTGCTGGGCCAATTGCTTGGCCATGGCTTCCTCGAGAATCTCGCGCATATCGCCAACAGGGTCCTGAGCAAGCTTTTTGATTGTGAGAGCCTGCAGTTCAGCAATGCTTTCCTTAAGCTGCGAGATCTCGCTGTGGCTGGAGTGAGGGGAAACCCGCTGAGGGATATCGTGGGTAACCAAGGCTTCCATGACAACATTCTTGAGCATTTCCAGCTTACGCTCTCTCATATTGTGAGGCGAGCGATCGCGAACTGAGGCTTCCTCGCCGTCATCGTCATCGTCCTCGTCCTCATCATCAGCATCACTGTCTTCCATCTCGGCGGATGTGCTGCGGAAGACCCTTCTGCTTGCAGTGCCCGTGGCAATAGAAGCCACCGACTGCTGAATGACTGCCAAGGCACGTTCCATAGGGCCCAAATGCTCGTCGATCGCGGTGCCAACAAGATCATTGATGCGACGGTCGAAGAAGCGGTTACGGTTCATAAACTTCTCGTCTTCACCAGCGGAGATCATGTCATCCCAGTCACTGACATGGTCATTCTCAGTAACAAGGTGGCGAACAGGGGACTGCAGACGAGAGACCAGGCTCTTCTGCGGAGAGAAGGTAGCATTGCTGTTGGCATCGATGTCCGAGCCAAGCTTGGGAATGCTAAGCTTGTAGGTCTTGGGGACTCCACCAGGGCTCGGGCTGGGGGCTTCACTTCGGGCCTCCGCGGAACCAAACCGCTGCTCCTTCGTCGGACCGCCCATCGACTCCGTGAGGTGGTCGTGTCGCAGTTGGAAGGGAGTCGCGTGGATCGTGTTGTAAGGAGTCGCTTGCCGCTCGATGCCGACATCTGCGTCGTCGTCGTTTAGCTGTTCCATGACTGCATTCAGCTCATCATCGTCAGGTGAGTCGTCCTCGGAGTCCCACGGGCTGTCGTAATGTTTAGGTTGGCGAGTGATGAATTCTGTTTCTACGCGGGTTGGAGTCTGGGCCTCAGGCTGATCTGGCGAGGTTTTCTGCTTAGGTGGGCTTGGGGCGGCAAAGCGAGAAGCCATGAGTCCAGCTTTCTTAGGTTTATCTTCAGCGGGACTCTTGACAGCGTTTCCTATGGGCTGCTCCTGAGTGACATTTGCTTCAAGAGGCTTTGGCTCAGCAAAGCTAGATGGTTGAACCGTCGTAGGAACAAATTCAGAAACAGCAGGCTTGAACTCGAAAGCCTGGGCATTAGGCGACAGCACACTGCTCTTGATCGAGCTCTTGGATCCATGAGGAGCGTGATCGACCCCCTTTGAGACAGTGACAGACGTATCATCTCCTGCAGCAGGCTCCCTTGGTTCACGTTCTTCGACAAAAATATCCTTAGAGGCCTCTGCCTGGGCCGGTGATCCAGTTTGCGACGCGTTCTCAGCCTCGCGCTTCGCATCGAATAAAGTCCAAGTGTCAGCTTCGCTAACAGGGGTACCCGTCCGCTCTACTGGATTGTTCTCTTTGGGCATGGCATTCTCCTTGCCCTCAGCGACGGTATGGAGCGCGCTCGAAGACTGAGCGTTGCCTGCCTCACCCAGAGGGTGGGTCGAGATGCTGTATCTAGCCTCGCCTTCCGCGTGGCCAACACCGCGACGCGCACGCTTGTGGCGGTCGGTAGGCTGCATGGGTCGACCGTTGGTGTCGTCTTCAATGACCCGCTCTTTCTCATTGTTCTCCTGTTCGATCTCATCAGGCCGCACAATAGGAATAGCCTTGGACTTCTTGTCAGGCGTGGTGATCTCGCTGATGTCAATGTCGCCGAAGATCTTGGTGCGACCAGCGGGAGGCTGCTCGGAGCTGGCATTCGAGTTGACGCTGATAGCGGGGTTGGGGTTGAAAACAGGTGCGTCAACATTGAACGATGCGGTGGAGAACTTGAATCCGCCGCTACCACTGGCATTGTGGTTCAGCTTGGAATCCATTGGACCGTTAATACTGCTACCAGGCGCGAATGAGGGAGGCGGGACAAAACCGAGTCCTTGTTCGCTCCTGCCACCGAACTGGAATGTGTCGTTACCGAACGGCACAGGCTGCGAACTGAACGATGCGGTAGGGTCGAATTCCTTGGCTTCAACGTTGAGGGATGAAATCGAGAGCTGCGACTGATGGCCTGCGTGGTAGGAGTTGCCGCTGGGCTGGGTCTCGTGCCACGGCCCTTGGCGAGTCTGCGGCGTACCCGCAACGCTGGGGTTTGTGTCGAGATCAGAAGCCTCAAGACCATTATGTTGTTGATATTGGTCTCCATAGAATTGGTGAGGGAGCTGGTGCTGGGTGAAGGGATGGGGTGCGTGATGGGAAGGGTTCTGTGCTTGGTGTTCATTTTCTGGCAATCCCCAGCGCGACTTCAGCATGTTGGCATTCAGGCCTGCGTGGTCGCTCAAATCACGGTAATCATCCTCCAATTGTCGGTCGATCGAGTTTTCCAGATGGTAATCGGTATGCGTCATCTGGTCCAGTCCTCTTTGCAGAGTTTCGCTCAAATTATGACCGTGGCCTCGAGGTGTAGGCTGGGCAATCTCGACGTTGGATGCATGGAAATGATCTGGGTGGCCATTAACCGGGGTCTTGGGAGCCTGATATGGCAGGCCTTCCTGGTGCATGCCATGGCCATATTTGTCATCGAACACAGCCTTATCGTTGAACCCGGGGTGGAAAGGCCCTTGGTCATGTAGCGGAGAAACCGGCGATAACATGGAGGAAAAGTTGCCCATTGCTCCTGGGCCAGCCGAAGTGGTTGGCTGCCGGGCGTTTATGAATCCTTGAGGAGTCATAGATCCCTGAGCAGGAGGTGTGGGCTGGAATTGGAAGGGGAACCCACCCATCATATTTTGATCCGCACCCATGAATGGCGTCTGCATACCGAATTGCGAAGGCGATGCCACGGACCCCATCGCACCAGGCGTAGGCATTGATGATTGATTGAAGTGAGGCGAGAATGGGTGAATATGGCCGATGGGATTGCTTGCCGCAGACGTAGTAGGGATCGGCGGTGATGCGACGAGGCCTGGGAAAGGTGTGCCACTAGGGTTGAGCGAGTAATCGGGTGATATTGATTGTTCAGGCTCATCATCACCAAATGACACCCCAAGAGCGCGTAGCTTTTCTTCTTGGAGCTCAGTGATATAAGACTCCCACTTGGCCCTGTCTGGGAAGTTGACGACAAGCGATTGGCTCTTGGAAATTTCATGGAGGTCATATGGGTCGGGATATAGGGGTCGGCTGAGACCTCCAAGAGTTGTCGTTATGGAGGGGTCCTCGGAATCGCCAATGGTGAATCCACGAACATCGTACCCTTCGTTCTCCCATTCTTGCATTCGTTGCTGAATGTCGGCAGGTGTTAGGAGACGATACCCAGGTCCCGAACCTCTTTTATCATCATGTGGTAGCTCGATTATGCAGGCTTTCCCACGCCAATTCAATTTCTTTCTCCGCCGTGGTGTTTGAGCGGCTGATCTGCTGATATCAGAGACCTGTGTTTTTAGTGGACCCGGGTTGAGTGGGTCTTCCATCTTTGCAACGTCCTCCGTCGCGTTTGCGGGCGGAGGAGGTAACGGCTTTTCTACCGGCGAGTTTACCTCGACGGTGGGTGTGTTTGGGTCTGACATGTTGTTTTGTGGTGGGTCTTTGTCGTAAGCAAACCCCCAAAAATCCTCTTGCCGCAGTGTATCAGCGCGTTTGTGTAAGGTTTTGCTGACTTTTCCACGCGCAGCGGCTTTTTTCCCAACGAAATCAGAGAGCGTTGGAGTTTTCAATAGGTCGTCGGAACGAAAGCCGTCTTCCAGACCGAGCCAGTCGTCCGAAGCGTCGTCGGCAAAGTGGTTCCTCGCAGTGATGAACGAAGGCGCTTCACTTCCTGAGTCGTCGCTGAGCCAATTGCTGCGCTCTGTTCTAGGCTGACCAGTAAGGTACTGGTTGATCCAATCTTGCGTAAAATCCCGTATCGATTTACCTCCGTTATTGGCGGGGCTATCGCGGTCCACGGGTTCAAGTGTGTCGTCGTTGCCGGCACTCGGTCTCCGCAACTCGGTGTGGTTGGCTACTGACGAGACGGGCGAGCTGGGACCAGATCCGTGGTCGACACCAGCGAATTCGATTTGGCTATTGGTCACTGACAGTCTCCGAGTGCTAGGTGCTGCATATGGGGATCCCCACGCGGTGGTGTAGTAGATGCTGCCTTCCGCCTCGCGATTGACCGGCGAAGAGGGCCGAGATTCTTCGGCTGCACGATACGAGGATAAAAATGGGAGAGGCGGGGGTTCGAGGGTGATACTCCGCGGAGAGGTTCGTTGGCCGGGGGAACCAGCGGTCGATGGACTCGAGTCTCCTGATGGCGGAGAGGACAAGAGTAGTGAGGGAGCCAGACGCGATTCACGGATGAGGCGCGTGTCCCGCGAGTGGAACTGTGGAGAAGGCGCCGAGATGGCGGAAGGGACGGAGTGATCTAGATCTGTAGTCATCCGGCGTGGTTAGATTGACATATTTGGAGGGGTCAAGGGCAAAAGAGCGATTGAATCAAGGGAGTTGAAGAATAAAGTCCAAATCGCGTGGCGTGAAGTAGGGATCTCAATTCCACAATGCCGAGAAAGGTTCAAAAAGAGATAACGTCAAAGCATATACACACATACCTTCCGTGTCGACTCCTGCAGCAAGCACTTGCTTGCCGCTCCGCTTATCGTCCAGAATGTTGACGCATGGAAATCAAATCGAAATTGAAGATCACCGCTGGCAAGACAACCTGGGGCGAGATAATGTGCAGGTTGTCGTTTTTTTTTTTCTCCTCTTCGGGATATAGGCGCACTCTGCAAGGAAATCAAAAGAATAGAGAGATCAGAAGCACGCTTGAGTCTGAAGCATCAAAGACCAGGATGGGGAACTAAGGGGAAAAAAAGGTCGGACGTCACGGGTATTGGATCGTCGTACTGGGTACCTGCTAAAGTGTGGGTAGTGCGAGCTAATGCGGTGTACAGGGTACCATAGGCCCCGGGCCCATTCAACGATTATTATTTGGTTAGCGTAGACCGAGGCCGTTGGCTTAGCTTGTCTTGTTGGCTTTTGTTTGTTTCTTTTTTTTTTAGTGTCAACTTGCTATGCTACATACGTATGTACGAAAAAATGCACATGTACCCAACACTGAATCTGATTCAAATAACCCTTGCCTTGTCCAAAGTTGAGGAATTGATTTTTATACGTTGTTACTGCGTAGTCTTCCCCTTGCTTGTGTAAATGTAAACAATGAAAAACTGGAGATCTCAGAGATTCAGGGGTAGAAGGGGCAGCTTTCCATGGATTCGACTCTTACCGTACCACTCCTGAGGGCCGTGTTATCAGTATGACTAATGCATTATATCTCCATTCACCAATCAGCGTCTATCCTGCAACAAAAGGGGTGGGTTCGTGCCTTCATGCTGATTGGTGAGAGTTTGTCTACGGGTGTCGAGCAAGGCCTGTTGCGAAAAGTTCTTTGATTATGACCTCGGGACTCCTCTGCACTTGAGGTTTCACCGACAAGTTCTATTCTCACCGACGGCGTGGATATAACGAAGATTCTAAGATAGACTGTTCGCACTGGAATCAACGCCATACCACAGGACGCCTTGATCATGATTCATGAAGGGAACTATTCGACTTAATGTCTCCCCTTTGCAGGCGCATAGTGATGCAGAGATCATTGATGCATTTTCTAAAGTCCGTCTGTGGTTATCAAGTGTAAATGAGGATTCGATGTCGACTTGGATGCGGAATTTTTCTCGCTTAGACAGAAACAGCTCTTCTGTCTTTCGAGGGCTCTTCTCCGAAAATGTAAGATTGTTGTGATGGATGAAGTGTCTAGCAGCATTGATCGAGCTACCGATAAAGTGATCCAAGAAGTGATTCGCCGGGAGTTTGAAGGAGCTACGATTAGTTCAATCGCTCATCGTCTAGACAGTATCCTAGATTTTGGTCGCATGGCGGTGCTTAGGGATGGGAAATTGGTAGAATTTGACAATCCTCAAGCATTGTTGGATAGGCCAACGGTATTCAGGGCCCTGCACAGCCTATGATTCTGGCTGGTGATGGTGAACTTGATTAATTGTGAAGAGTGAAGCTGCAAAGTAGAGCATTAGGAAACTAACCTTCTGATTCCTGACTACGTCCTAGCACTATCTATGTAGTCATTGTAGACTGCAACTGCCCCCAGATGCATATTTTGTATTGTGAAGAGCGAAACGCTGTAGCAATGTCCATGTTATTATCTAGTTATACAGCCAGAGCCAATTAAACCATATTTCCATTGGAGTAGGAGATGAAAATCCCCGGAATAAATGAATACAATTTGAAAAAGAAACCGCTAGTGGCGGGCAAGCCATCAAAGCAAAGACACTCGGATGAGGCGAACAAATAGTCTCACATAGTCTATTTGGGGCAAGAGGTGTCGAACTTGACCTTGCGGTCCGCGGTGAACAGACCCCAGTGCTGCTCATCCTTCATCTCGCCGTTGTCACCCTTGGTATCGGGCTTCCAGGACTCATCGAAGGCCTCGAAGTAGAAGAGGTCAACACCCCAGTCGAGCATACCACAGATACCGGTCTTCCAGAACTTCTCAGCATTCTTGGTACCGGCCTTGGCAGCCTCGTAGTCGGAACCGCCATCGGTGGGCCAGCCGGTCTCACCGGTGACAATGTTGATCTTGTCGGCGTTGTCACCGGCAATCTTCTGAATGTGCTCCATGGCGCCGGCCATGTCGTCGAAGTAGGTCTTGTAGGCCTCGTCGGCGGCAGTACCCTGCCAGTAAGCAAAGGCGTTGGCCAAGCTATGGAGTAGGTGAGTATTGGTGCGAAAATTTTCCTCTGTCCTTCTTTATTTCCCCACTTACACATATTTCACAACGGGCTCCTGGGTGAAGAGGGCGTCTCCGGTGCCGTCAGCAAGCTTGTTCCAGCTCTCGGCGGTGCCAACAAGAACACCCTTGGGCACATTATCCATCACGTGGCTGATATAAGTGTGGAGCTGGGGACCAGTCAAGTCACCACGGTAGAGGGTCTCGGATCCGACGGTGATAGCGTGAATGACGTCCTCGTAACCGGGGATAGCCTTTTGAATGGCAGCCCAATCCTTTTTGAAGGAAGGCTCCTCCAGCAGGTTCTTAGTGTCGGTAGGCTTGCCAACCCTAAAGAAAGAAAAAAGGTTGGTTAAGAAATAAATCCAATTAGGGGTGAGGGGAAGAACTAAAAACTTACCACATGCCGAGAACGACCTTGAAGCCCTTGTTTTTGGCAGCAGGCAGAATGTTCTGAGGGGTCTTACACTCAGTACCGGAGTAGGTACGGACGATGGTAGACAGACCCTTCAGGGCATCGAAATCGGACTCATAGTCGCTGGTGGACTTGCAGGTACCGTCGGCATTCTTGTCACCGAGGGAGAAACCGAGAGTACCCTTAGCAGAGACCAGAGTCGGGGCAGCGGCCAGCAGAAGGGAAATAAGACCAGAGGGACGCATTGTGAAAAAGAATGAGGTCGATGAAAAATGAGAGATTCGACCAAAGAGTGACAAAAGAAGAGAAAGAGTGTAAGGGTTATAAAGGGAAAATGAAGGTACGTCAGGGACCAAGAAGAAAGACCCAGAGGATCGGGGCACGGGGGGAAATGAGGGTTTAGGCCCTGACAGGGTCTGGCTTGTTTGTTCTGTGGAGAGTTCCCCACTGGAGGTTATAGGGGTGTGTCTGCAACCAATCAGAGTAAATGAAGGCTATTCTTAGACCCGTGGATGAAACAATTCCCCTTTACGAAGTTAACGCTTCTTGGATTTGACTATGTTGTATGTTGTAGTTATATCCTACCTATATAGGTAATCTTTCGATAATTCTGTCCCTCATCATAATTCCCTCAACTCAGATTCAAATGGGTTGTATCCAAGACTTATCTTGATATCCTTGATATCTTCGATGTAGCTGCAGAGTCGTGATGTCACTTTCACAAGGCCCAGATGCCCAGATGCCTAGATGCCTAGATTTCCAGATGTTGTGGAGAGAATTGGGGAAATCCAGAATCGATCAGATGGGTAAAGAACCACATTGTGGTTTGGTCCACACCGCCTCGCCGATCCCCATCGGAGAAGAGAACCGCAGAGAGATTGTCTTTGGAACCGGAGTTTCCTGTGGTTCACTAGAATCTAGCCGGGCCTCTCTTTCCACAACTGCCTCTGGGCATAATACACTGACCTACCTAGGTAGGTATCTAGGTAGTTCGTCCCCAAACTTTGTCCCTTGCAGCCAAAATGTGCTTTAAGATAGCTCATACCACCTGCAGGTTTCACAATTAGCTAATCACCATGGTCAAGGCAGATGCATATTCCATTCAGGATCCATATTTTACAATATTGTAGAGTTGCCTCTGTGGCCCCATGTAACTGTTTGCCATCCTGAACCACACAACATATGGGGCTATTACAATGTCACTGGGAGACTCGGTTCATTTGAGCTTCTATTACTAACGTTACATAGTAGTCTAGCTTTCCTTGCATTGTAACAGCCGAGTTAAAACATTCTACAGCCCAATTAGTTACTCTTGTCATACTCTTGAAGAACACACACACACACACACGTAAAAAGGTATGCATATAAGATCTAGCCAATACTAGCCCCGAATCCTCATTACCACCATTGATATCCATACCTTCAAGGTCAGAGACATCTTCCTTCTCCCTAAGACCCCTAATACCCCCTAATTCCCCCCAATTTCCGGAACCCAGATTCTAGCAGCCGGCATTGCCCAACCCAGCTTCAGTTCCCAAATCTAGATGGATGTCCAGTTTCGGCGAAGTAACAGTACTGAAAGTCAGGTTCCCGCCTGGTCAAGCCGCACTAGTGGCAATAGCATTCGAAATGTGGTTCATTTGGAGGGAACTGAGAGTCGGAAGGTGGAATTACTCGAATAGACGAGCGTTTGGTTGTACAATGTGTTGGTTGAGATTATGACTCAGGTGGTGGTTATGTACTGAGCCACGAGGTATGTGAGTGGGGGCTTGTCAGAATGTTCGATGCATGGCAGTGACTCTGGGGTTAACCGAGACCGCGTGGGAATGCAATGTAACCAACGTTCTATTGTAGCCAGACTCACGCAGGTGTCTTTTCAGTATGCTGACATTGACTGTAAAATTCCAGCTGTTGCTATATACATAGCAACAAGCCCTAGTTAACTAGTTATCATACAAAGTGTTTCTAACATGATTCATAGAGGGTATGATGATATCCAGCGGTGATCGCCGATCTGGATAAAAATAATAATAAAAAAACGCCGTATGTTTTCTATGGCCTCCAGCCATCCCTGCTGAGGCTACATAAGTGATCCTGAAGGTTCACATCCTTCCCTACCCATAAAACGCCCGCCACACCAAATCACAACGCGAAATTCTTCTCTTTCAAGTACACCTCCTTAAGAGTACTCAGCTGTGTCACAGCCATTGTCTCCCGCCCAAGCTTGCGGGGCAGGTCAATGATGACATGGTGCATCAGCGCGAGCCCGTATTGACCGAAGAATCCGACAATGCGCTCGCCCGACGATCGGAACAGGGCTGCGAGAAGGGCAATCTGGGTCTCCTGCAACTCTGCAGGTGGAATGGCAAGGATTTTGTGGATAGAAGACCAAAACATGGTGTTGGGGAACGGGTTGCGACGTGGGGACTTCGCAAAGTTGCGAAGGGTCATAGCAGCATATCCCGCACCGAGTGCGGTCATGCGATCCATATGAATTTCTTCTGATACCCAGGAACCAGTGTCTGCAGAACGCCACCAACCCAGGACACGACGGCCACCCTCGGTCTTGTCATTGCCTGTGAATCCCCAAAGAGCGGGGCAAACAACACGGTACTTGGCCCACATGATGTCGGACATGTGTATTCCTTTGTACGTGAACATATCAAAGGAAAAAATCTGTGCAGCAATGATGCCGATCGGCTCGGCGTGGGATTGTTTGATGGAGGCTTCAGCCAAGAGAGAGGAGATCAAGCTCTTTGCAAGAATGTTCAATCCGTAGATGAGCATTGCTGGCACCTTGTTCTCCGACTTTGCAATCTCCTCGGGTGGGAATGCAATGAAGTTTCGGATGTCCACTGTTGGCTCTGGGTAGGCAAGTGCCTTTTCAAGTTCGCCTTTGAGTTGAATAATCTGAGTTTCATTTTCAGTATCAGTCTCCAGACAACCACATCCAATGAGAGGGGGGGGGGTTGTACCTGTTGTTTATTCGCACCGGTTCCAGCTCGAAGCTGGCCAACAGACTTCTTGATTGAGCGTCGTAAATTGCCCATGGTCGCCTTGAGGTCAGGCTGCGCTTGGCCAATGTCCTTGAGCCATTTGCGCATTTCCTTGAGAGTCTTATGTAGCTGAACGTAACGTTGTTGCTCTTGAATATCTCCAGCCGAAAGGTTTCCGGCACCAAGTTTCTGCTGTTGTTGGCTGCGGGCCTTGTCGTCGGCCTCTTCCTGCACCTTTCGAGCCTCCTCATCCTGCTTGCGTTTCTGGGCGTCGGCCTGCTCGCGTTCCTTGCGGAGCTTCTCCTCAATCGCGGCTTTGCGTGTGGTTTCAAGCGCAGCGGCTTTCTCAGCCGCCTCCTCCTGGGCCTTCTTCTCGGCCTGCTCTTTGGCTTGGCGTTCGGCCTCAACGCGTGCGGCTGCTTCTCGTTCGCGGCGTGCGTTTTCACTCTTTACAAGTTCAAGTCGTTCCCTTTCCTTGCGGATCGCTTCTTCCTTCCGCAGGCGCTCCTCCTCTTCGGCGAGGAGGTGAACCTTCAAGGTTGTCTCCGCTTCCTCGCGGACACGGTCGTGGAAGGCGGCGGCCTGATCAAGGGCGGCTGTGTGGACTGCTTCACGCTCGCGGTCGATCCGATCGAGATTTTCGTAAAATTGCTTTCGTTCATACTGGTGAACTTTCTTCAGGTCGGCATCGAAGATTTTGACTTGTTCAAGATCGCGAACGAGGTCAAGCATCAGCTGCTTGGACGGGCTGTCCAAGGGTGGGACATGAGTTCGGAATCGTGCCATTGTGGGGGTTGACATTTGAGTAAATGATATGTTTATTCCGAAGGTTTCTGGTGAGGAGTGGTCGAGTGTGTATTTGGGGAAAGGTCGGGGAGGTTCGGAGGACTGGTGAAGGGAAAGGATGGTCAAGTGGATATGGAGAACTCAAGTAACTGAGACCATATCCGTAGTTAGGGGAGTTCAGAAGCCTTGAGCATAGAACAATATCGCAAAGCGAAGTGATGTTCACGACTGATGTAGCTATCGATCTGAAGTAGAAGGTAAGAGGAAGGATGAAGGGTACAGCGTCAGAGTAATTGTGGGAAGTTATGAGGTAGGTGATGAGTTCAAGAAGTAAATCCCGCGTTCTTGGAGCGAATAATTGGACGTTGTCGCGTCAAAAGTAGTAGAAGGGAGGGTCCATGGAGATTGGAGCTATGGGAAGGTTGGGATTAGCATGTAGCTTTCGAGGGGCACAAACGGAATCAAGCGTTTTCCTGCATTGCGTAACCATCCAATAATAACCTTGGAAGCGACTTGAGGATTCAAGATTCAACGTACATGGATGTACCTTCGACCTTCAAAATATTTCCTCCGATGTTCAAAGTCCTTATCTTGAAGCCAAAGAAAAATAAATTACCTGTAAAGCTCAATCTTACCAACGTTCCAACTGCTTTCACCGCCTTCTCATCACCGCCTTACTATATCGGTTACTACTTTTGGGGTTATCAAGGCTATTAAACATCCTTGCCCTAGTCCTTAAGAAGATTGGAATATATACGGAGTATAGACAAAGCAATTTAGAATTGATTTACAACCCAATAATTTACATCAATCAAGCAATTTCCTTGGATTTACTAACAGTATACAGCCAAAGATGGTCGTCCGCTCCCTCGTTTCCCAAGACAAATGAGTAAGCAAGACCCGTTCCCGGGGTCAGTTCCCTGGCGCGCTCCCGCCTGGAAGCGTTGACGTTTACATCATTGTGAGCATCATCCATTTTGGACTACCCTATATAATTGGGAGAACAAAGTACAAAATGATCAAATTTCTCCGATCATACCCGACTTGAGATTGCAATTAGGTTTTCCCTGGGGTAGGTATATTCAATTAACCCAGCGGATACTGATCCTTTAGCTTTAAAAGACCCTAAACTAGCCAACCCACCACTAGTTAGCTGTTCTATATTTGAACTTCTGTACGGAGTACTGGAGGAGAAACCGTGTTTCCATACAGAAGAAGCCGGCTCCCATCTACATGTAGACTCCAATGACCATACTAGATACTTTAAGTGGGAACTCGAAGCAGTTCAACGGATGCATCAGGATGATGATGAAGTTGGTAGCAATGGCGATCATCCACGGCTCCTAATGGAGCGGCGTATGATGGATAATCGTCACAGTATTTACAGTATCCACTCCAGGATTATTGCGCTAAATTCTGTAATAAAACATTGTTCGGTCATTTCCGAACACACTCTCTTCTTTCCGTACCAATGGCCCTCTCCCCACACCTCTTTGTATCTCCAGCATCACCTTTCTTCTTCTCCTTTCCCCCTCCTCTCTGTTCTTATCCCATCTCTCTCTCTTCTTCCCCCCTCCCCCATATCGCTCCTTCGAGTCGAATTAGTCGATGGTTTCATCGTCTATTCTATCCTTCCCTCTAATTTCAGTATTCGCTGTCATTCTCTTCGGGGATCAACTCTGAATCCCCGTTTTAGAACTTTGGAATCATCCTGAAGAACAAGCTCGTTCCAACGGCTTTCTTCCCTTAAAGTCCACCCCGGTTCTTCATCGAGGTGCTTTTTGTCGAATTCTCCTTTTTGTCGGTTGCAGTCGTGCTTTCCAGCACAGCTCCATCCCCTCGGTCCTTCCAACTCCTGTTCGAAGCTTCATCCTGTTGCCACGGTGTTGCTCGTTGCAAGTTTTCCTTAAACGTGCAATTGCCTCGACTTCTACTTGTCATCATCCGGTTGCTCCTCATCACTTCTTGGACTTGTAACAAAAAAAAGGCGATCATCCCACATTGAACTCTACAGACGTCATTTTGGAATGCTAGGGTTGGGAGGTTGTCATTAGTTTCATATTTCAGGTAAGACGATCGTGATATACCGCACGCATTTGCTTTTGGAAGTTTTACCCGGCTTTGATTGCCCTTTCCGCTTTTTGATTATTTGTGAGGTCATCGTCATGTGTGCTTCTTTCCCCCCCTGAGACCAAAGCTTCTGTTGAGTCCGCCCTTACCTTTTGGACTTCACTTTTCATGTGGGATCTAACATCGCCGCGTTTCCCTCTTCTCGCCTTCTCTTTTTCCTACTCCATCCTGAACCCTTACTGATCCACTCTTTGTCACTCTTCCAGGATAATTCACATATTGAAAACCACAATCCGCACATACAGACCCCTTTTGGTCGGCCTGTGATCCATTTCACTCGGCTCATTTGCCTTTTGGCATAGTACCAGTCTCTCCAGTCGCCGAATTCGCCCGCCAAACACACATATTACATTCTACAGTAATTGCCAGCTTCTGTCATCTGGGATCATGGATCAACAGAGTCAATCTGGGCCTCAGGGCCCCGGTGGCCGCAAGTTCCATATTGCTCATCGGAGAAGTCCATCTGAGCTCACCCCGTTGATGAGTATGTGACCGCCCACTATAAAACCATAGTCCCATCATCCCCGCTAACTTGAACTTGTTTACAGTGGAACAACTGGCCATCCAACAACAGATCGAGTTGCTCCAGCAGCAGCAGCAACAAATTGCTGCGACACACCAACAATACGTTAACATGGGGCTGTTGCAGCCCCAGCAATTGGGCCAGGTGCCCTCGTTTCAACCCGGTGCCTCTATGGGCGGTGTCTCCCCACAGCAAGTGAATGCATTCCAGTTCCCGCAGGGCGGACAGCAGCAGCCACAGCAGCTTGGAGTACCAATGAACGCACCGAACCAGCATTCGCACCGTCGCAACCAGTCTGCTCTCCCTGGTCTTCCCATGGGCCCACCCCCTGCCCCGTCGTCTGGAGCATCGGGATATGCCGATTATAACCAGCAGGGCCAAAACAACAATAACCACAAGAATGAGAACACCGGCCACGGCCGCGGTCGTGGAGGTCCTCCCGGCGGTGGTCACCAACGCCGTCACTCGCTTGCTCTTCCTGAGGCTAAGAAAGCTGCCGAGCTAGCCCAGCAGAAGCGAACAGCTTCCGGATTCCAGTTCCCAGCTCCTGCTCCTGGTGCAAGTGCATCTGATAACCAGTCTTCATCGGATGATAAGCCCGCATCCAGCACTTCTCCGGCACCCCAGGGACCCCAGGGACCTGCCTTCCAGCGGGCCGGAAACATGCGGGCTGGTGGTCATGGCCGCAGCCAATCGATGGCCATCGGTGGTAACCGAGCTTCCATCTCCGGTCGCGGAGCTGGCGGCTTCCAGTTCCCCCAAGCCAGTGAGCCAACAACCAATCAATCTGATAATCAACGGCGACCCTCCCAGGCTGGCCATGCTCGGTCATCCTCGCGAAACTTCGAGGGCAACTGGCGCCAGCCCAACAACCAAAACCAGAGCCAGGATCAGCAGAGGCCCGTCGGTCAGCAGCAGGGTGGATTCCAGCCCGGCCACCGGTCCCGCGGCTCGATGAATCAGTCCATGGGTTCCATTGGTCAATTCCAGTATGGCGGCCAGCCTCAGCTCGGCCAGCCTCAGCTTATCCAACTTCCCCAGGGCCAGGTTATGATGGCACCTCAAATGTTCGGTAATCAGCAACTGAACCCCCTTCAGCTGGCTCAGCTCCAAGCTCTTCAGCAGCAGAACCCCCAAGGTATGGGTGGTCTTCAGGCGAGCCAGCATGCCCCACCGCAGATTTCTGTTCAACAGCAGCAACAGCAGCAACAGCAGCAGCGGAAGACGCTTTTCACTCCTTACCTTCCCCAGGCAAACCTCCCTGCGCTCCTTAGCAATGGACAGTTGGTCGCTGGTGTTTTGCGTGTCAACAAAAAGAACCGTTCCGATGCTTATGTGACCACCGACGATCTGGATGCCGACATCTTTATTTGCGGTAGCAAAGATCGGAACCGCGCCCTTGAGGGTGACTATGTGGCAATCGAGCTTCTCGATGTCGACGAAGTGTGGGGTCAGAAGAAAGAAAAGGAGGAAAAGAAGAAGCGCAAGGATATCACTGATGCCCGCTCCAACAGCAATGCAGGAAATGACAAGCTTGGTCGCTCCGATTCCACCGGCGATAGACAGGAAGTTGGCCCGGATGGAAGCATCCGTCGCCGTGGTAGTCTTCGCCAGCGCCCTACCCAGAAGAAGAACGACGATGTCGAGGTCGAGGGCCAGAGCCTTCTTCTTTGCGAGGAGGATGAGATCAGCGACGAGCAGAAGCCTTTGTACGCCGGCCACGTTGTTGCGGTCATTGAGCGTGTGGCGGGCCAGATGTTCTCAGGAACCCTGGGTCTCTTGCGTCCCAGCAGCCAAGCTACGAAGGAGAAGCAGGAGGCCGAGCGGCAAGCCAGAGACGGTGCCCACGGCCGGTCGCACAATGACCGTCACCAAGACAAGCCTAAGATCGTCTGGTTCAAGCCTACTGACAAGCGTGTTCCACTTATTGCCATCCCCACAGAGCAAGCACCTCGGGACTTCGTTGAGAAGCACCAGGACTACGCCAACCGAATCTTTGTTGCTTCCATCAAGAGGTGGCCTATTACCTCTCTGCATCCCTTCGGAACTCTCGTTGAGCAGCTTGGAGAGATGGGTGACTTGCGGGTTGAGACAGATGCCCTGCTCCGCGACAACAACTTCGGTTCGGATGACTTCTCCGATGCTGTGTTGAAGAGCATCGGCTGGGAGGACTGGTCCGTCTCTAGCGAGGGAGACGCCCTGGCTTCGCGACGTGACTTCCGTGAAGAGACCATCTTTACGATTGACCCCGCCGACAGCAAGTCCCTCGAGGATGCGTTCCATGTGAAGAGCCTTGCCGATGGCAAGGTTGAAATCGGTGTTCACGTGGCCGATATTGCTCACTTCGTCAAGGGTAACTCTCTGGTGGACCGTGAGGCCAAGAAGCGTGGTACTGCAGTCTATTTGGTTGATCGAATCATGAACATGTTGCCTACCCGTGTTTCTACTGAGCTTTGCTCTCTCGTCCCTGGCGAAGATCGCCTTACAGTTAGCGTGGTATTCAAGGCCAACCCCACCACTGGTATCGTGGATGAGGATGTCTGGATTGGCAAGGGTGTCATCAAGAGCGCTGGCCGTCTTGACTACGATCAGGTTAATGCACTTGTTCAGGGCAAGTCTGATGTCAACACCAGTGGCATCTCTGCCGACAGCATCCGCTTGTTGCACGTAAGTTTATTCTGATTCTCCTCCACGTCTTTTTGTTTCCCCTTATGCTAACAAAAACGTTCAGAACACTGCTGGCAAGTTCCGCGAAGCTCGCTTCGGTAACCGCGTGTCAAACGTTCCTGTACAGCGTCTGCTTCAGCAGCTTGATGACGAGAATGTGCCAGTCGAATACAATATTTTCGAGTCAACCCCAGCACATGAACTTGTTGAGGAGCTGAGCCACCAGGCCAACTCCTTCGTTGCTCGTAAGCTCGTGGCCGCTATGCCGGACAGAGCTTTCCTGCGTCGTCAGTTCTCGCCCAACTCTCGTCGTCTTACTTTGTTTGTTGAGCGAATGAACCGCCTTGGCTTCGAGATGGACTCGAGCAGCAGTGGCAGCCTCCAGAGCTCTCTCTGCAAGGTGCAAGATGTGGATCTTCGCAAGGTAAGTGACTTTTCCGTACTCGCCGTTATAGATGCATGTATTAACACATGATACAGGGTATGGAGACTCTCATTGCCAAGGCCATGCAGCGTGCCAAGTACTATGTCAGCAGTGGTACTCCCGATGAAATGCGCCAGCACTATATTCTCAATGTGCCGGCTTACACCCATTTCACCAACCCCTCTCGGCGCTACGCCGATATCCTTGTGCACCGTCAACTCGAGGCTGTGCTCTCCGGGGGTGCCGTGGAGTTCAACGACGATATCGAGTCGCTGAACAAGACTGCCGATCTTTGCAACAACAAGAAGGACTCGGCTCTCAACGCCCAGGAGCAGAGTGTGCACATTGAGGCCTGCCGCAAAATGGACCGCAAGAGTTGCGAGATTGGCGGCGATCTCATCAGCGAGGGCATTGTACTTTGCGTTTATGAGTCTGCCTTTGACGTCCTTATTCCGGAATTCGGCTTTGAAAAGCGTGTCCATTGCGACCAGCTGCCGCTCAAGAAGGCTGAGTACCGCAAGGACAGCCGTGTACTCGAGCTGTACTGGGAGAAGGGTGTTCCCTCGTCCGCATACATTCCCGAAGACGAGCGTCCCAAACCCGGTAACTCCCGTGCTGCTCAGGCCGCCGCGGCTGCTCGCGAGGCCGAGGCCGCCAGAGAGCGCGCCAGAGAGCGTGATGAGGCCATGCGTAAGCAAACCGAGACCGGCACAATGTCTGCGGACGATGTCGATGCCCTTTTCGACGACGATGAGGATGTGGATGATGTCACTGAGATGGCAGCCGGCGTGTCGCTCAACTCCGCCGACCGCTCGACTCAGAGCATGCCGCCCTCACCTACCCGCAACGGTCATCACCAGCAGGGACCTCACCGTACTCGCTCGGACCCCAAGATTGCCTCCGGCACTGGTGATGCACCCGAGAATAAGTTGACCAACAAGGAGAAGTACCTGGACCTATTCAAGCTGCGCGAGGTGGATGGAGACTTTATCCAGGATGTCACAGAGATGACCCGTGTTCCCATCATCCTGAAGACTGACCTGAGCAAGAGTCCTCCGTAAGTATTCCCATTCAGCGTTCCTTTTTTTCTAACATGGGCATTCCTAACTAACGGTGATTTCCCTTCCAGTTGCCTCACCGTTCGGTCTGTCAACCCCTACGCCCTGTAGAGGTCTGAAACTCGGCTCTGTTTTCTTCATGGGAAATATTTCTTGCATGCCACCCTGCAGATTCTTCGCTCAAGCGGAGCATGCTGTGTCTCGTGCACGCCTACGGACATAATCCAATCCCGACGTGGATCGAACATATCGTTATCGGCATATCTTTCCTTGGTTACGCTTTTTCTCGGTGGCTTCATCCAATTATCCCAATTCTACCCATCATCTTTTCGACGTGTCCTGGGATTCTTATACTTATCCTGTTATATGTGCAAAGCGGTTGTTTGTCTTTTTTTGAGCATTTTAGTTGAAACCTGGGCAAATCTCTTAGTGCCAGAGCTTGCCTGGTTTTCTTTGTTCTCGTTCTCTGAGAACGTTTGGAAACTTGGCGGGAAGGACATTGCAGCTCGATAGTCCCAGAAAATCCTTCCGATTAATCTATGGTATTACAACCTTACACTGCTTTCCACCTTGGCAGGGCTCTTGTTGCAGACGTACAGTTAAATCTATCTTGTTATGTCCACATGAAAGTACCGCAAGTATCACAAAATTACTAAACTGCAAGCTTAACCTAGAATGTAGAAGTCATCAAGTTGTGCCACATTTTTGACTGCACCATCAACCCATCATGTTGGTGTTGCTTAACTAGTTAGCCCTAGATAATGAACCCAATCCCAATGCCCGTAAGAAAGATGACTGGTATAGCTCACAGCTGCTATATCTAGAGACAGTGGTTTGAAGCTACTTCCCTCGAGAAGTACAGTAACTAGTACATATCATGACAGTGTAATTTCATATGAATTCTTAAACAGACAAATATGTCCAAGCTAAGTCAAATTGTAACTCCAGAGCCACCGTGCCCAGCCTGGCCATGTTGCCAATGCAGTAATAGAACCAGCTCCATAATTTCTCCTCGCTCCTCGCTTCATGCAATTTGTAAGTCCGGTTGGATTTAACGGACCACCAAGGGTATCAAGAAATGTCGCTAACGGGGGTAGGGGTAGGGGTAGGGAGGGATAGTGAAATAGGTGCGGATAGAGGGAAAGCAAAAACCAAACGAAAAACAATGAGCTTGACTTAGATCAGAAGGTTTTTTTTTCTTCCAAACATCAAAATCAATTGGAGGGCTGAAAATGCACAAATGCACCGCAATGAAAATCCATCAAATTAAATCAAATTGCAGATAAATGGATGGCCTTCTCATAGCCGGCGAATTCCAATGCGCGGCTTTGCTCTGACGGCAAGGCGCTTGTGTAGGCCGCTCGTGGCTTTCTTCTTTGAGATTCCAGAATTGGAGGAGCCGGACAGAGATGACGATGATAGTGATGGCGTGGGGAGTTGAGCATGTGCTGGAGAAACGGGAGTAGAACCATTGAGCGTCTTCATGGGTTGGTATTCGCGCTTCTCTTTTAACCCACGTACGGTTGCGGATCCGCGGTTTTCTTTGCCGTCGCCGCTCAGCCGACGTAGGGGGTCTTGCATGGCCAGCTGGGGCAAGTCTTCGAATATTGGCATCTCATCGCGGAGACGGCCGGAGGCATTGACTCCTCCACAAAGTAAGGAGAGCTTGGGTGTTTTCCGTAGTGGTGAAGAAGTACGAGAACGAGAACGTGTGTTTGCAGTTATGTTTCGTTCATTGGAGGTCATGGCGGGGGCGTCGTTGTCGTTGTCGGAATCGATGAGCATCATGTCTGCATCGGAGTCTTCTGGATAGTGGATTGAGAGGACGGAGAGGGGGCGTTTTCCCAAGGCAGTCTTACGAGGACTCGGGGGCGCGAAGTAGACAGGAGAGGGGGAAAGAGTTGGGTTGTTTTCTTTGCTTGCGCTAGCGGGGTCGTCGCTTTCGCTGTCGACGTCGTCTGCCATGGATGGGGGAGGTTGGGCGAACGGGTTTGAGGAGGATTGTGAAGGATATGGGGATTGTGGTGTGATTTCTACTGCAGTGGTATTGCGGGCGGTTTTCTTGCTTGTAGCGGCGTGGGTGCGGGCCTGTTTCCGCGGGCGTTGAATGACTGCGTCCTTTTCTTTCTCCTCGAGTGTGGTCGCTGCCTCCTCACCTCGGAGCTTTGCTTCAGTCACTGCATCATTGAAGTTGGGTGGGATCGCGGCATGGATTGAGGTCATGAGTTTGGCTTGGTGTGCGAAGGCGTCATAGTTCTCTTGCATAAGAGCGCCCGCAGAAGCGTTGAGGGCAGAGTCTGGGTTGGGGTAGATAAGTAGACATGAGATTGTCTGAATAGAAACAAGTTATATCGTTAGTCGATAGTTAGGAAACTCATTCCCCTAGTGCGGTCCAACTTACCACCAATACATCGCGGAGTGTTAGACTGGGCTGCCAATCCCGCTTAAGCGTATCCACACAGACGGCTCCGGTAAGCTCCTCCATGTTCGGATGCCATATTTTCGTCTTAAAGGTAGCCTTTGGAGGGCTCTTAGGATAGTCATCGGGCATCTTAAGATGGAGCTCCCATAATCCTTGTGAAAAGGGTGTGCCCGCTGGGCCGGTGAGAAGTATTGTGAGCTGTGACAGGTCGTCACCATCTGACGGCTGCAGGTAGTACGGTGGAAGATCACGGTGCAAGGCAGCGTGGTCGGCAGCTAGCCGGCGCAAGTTGGACGGCTAGATATCCATGTCAGATATAGAGCACGAGCATATACTGGTTGCTGGGAAACCAGTGTGTGTCAATGAGTTGAACATGAATGACTTACCATGCTGGAGCTTTCGGTGGTTGTAGGGTACTAAAAGGATAGGGTAAACTAAGTTGGAGAACAATGCAAATTCAAAATGTGATCTGGACCAGTGAAAGCACAAGAATCACAATCATCACAATCACAATGATAAGAGATGGTTACTTCGTCGACGGTTTGTTTTGAGTGGAGGTCGCACTAACCCTTTTGGGTACGTGTCAGTCACGTGCTCTAAGTCGCGTCATTTGCGCGTAACTAATATTACCTTTTTGGGATTGCCCTATGTTTCACCCCGTCCTTGCTATAATAACCCTTGCTATCCCCATGAGACATCTATTGTAGGAAATTATGAATATAAAGGGGGAAAGATGAATTAAGTCATATCTCCTTATTTGGAGAATTATATCATTCATAGGTTAGGTTGACAGGAAGAGGAAGAAGGTCCAGCTGTCTTATAGATAGCTAACTAAAAGTAGATAATTAAAAGTAGATAGCTAAAAAGTATGGGAAATAGAGGGCTCAGGACGAGGCACTAACTAACTAGTTAGTTAATGGGGCTATTCATGTTGTCCAAATAACTAGTTAACTAGTTAGTTACCCCAGGAGAAGCCTACAAATACGTCCAAAGTCCGGCATTAGGAGTTGTGCCAAGTCAGTAACTATACCCCCTTTGAATTGGCTACGGTAACCCCCATCAGCTGCTGTAGTTCAGATAGGTTAGTTACCGTGGCCATACTAAACTGTACCCAATATCTACATATCACCCAATCCTATAATATATCTTATATTTATTCTACATTAGCCCAGCCAGGTATATTCCATAGAGATGTTGGGTAGTCAATAGGGCGATCTCCAAACTACAATAGCTGATGGGGGTTACCGTAGCCAATTCATCAAAGTGGGGTACCCTAGCTTGGCACAACTCCTAACCCCCAGTAAGCCTAACCTCCGTAAGCTACATACAACAAACCCGATGATGCGCTGGCTGTTGTTGTTATGCGCCAGGTGCATGGGCCGTCTGAATATGGGACACCTATATCTTAGGAGATTTCCCCTCATCCATTCTGATTTCACAGTTTTCATTTCTAAATCAGCCAGATATCTACCTAGATACTCATATCGACATGGATGATAACGAGGATGACGGGTATGAATGTATCTCTTACTCGGCGTCATCCCAGTCGTGTACAACCTGGGCACTCCATCGGGCTATCTTGATCGAGCCCCGTGAAACACCGACAACGGAGCAGGCAAATACCTTCATCGACACACTCTACGAATCCGGTGTACCGTTCTTCACCAAGCATGCAATCAGAGAGCTCTCGGATCAGATTCAGACTCAAACCACTGCGGGGAGTAAGATAATAATCAAGGACCTCACCGGCGCTTCGCTCGAATGGAAAGTGAAAGTCGGACAGCCTCCCTGGCTCGGAGCCGGCGGGAATGAATTTATTTAGTAAGATATTCACTTTACCTCGCGCGAGATGTATCTACCGGCGGGTTTATTATGTCAGGGCTTACACACCATTTAGCAAAGAAGTTGGGATAAATTACAGAGCCAAAGTACACCTCAAAAGTGACTTGGACCGGGAGGAAGTCGATGATTCAGTTTACGTCCCCATGGGCTTGATGCACCGGGTGTTTCAGGTCGACAGCAGCAGTGAGAACAAGAAAATCATATATGACACGACTATTGAAGAACACGAAGTTGTCGACCAGGATTTCCGAAAGAAGCGGTTGGCCTGGGAAGAGAGCGAGACATGCAAGAATTTCAAATCAACTTTGTCTTCATTTGCCAGCGGCCACGATATTAACAAGATCATCGGTCTCGCCTGTGGTAGCCTAGCCATGCCAAACAACGACGGTGCTGCGTCCCAGACTGCGTTGCTGGTCACCCTTAGGAGCTGGCTGAAAGAGAGAGACCAGGACAAAAACGTATCCTGTTACATCCAGGACCCGATGAACACCCCTGTCGATAAAGAGGTTCTTGCCGATGTCGGATTCGAGATGGTTGATGATCCACGCGGCTGGCTTGAGGTCGATGAGTGTTCAGTTGTGCTCTCGGTGGCACCCAATGTGCCCGTCAAGGAAATTATCGCGGATATCGCTAGACCTGCCATTTTGATATGGTATCGCGTTGGGGACGACGAAGAAGAGATGTGAGTGTTGTTTTGGTCTATTATATATGTGGTTTTCTCACCGTAGGCTTGAGGACTGACATGCTAGCTAGGACCGACCCTAACTCGGCCCGGGTTAGGGCAATGATGGAAGGTTATGATTTACATGAGCTTGGACCTGACGAGACATGGTCGGATGTGGTGATGTATATCCGGAAGTCTGAGGTTGCCCCAATTCCAAGTCAAGATGGCACATTCTAGACTTTGCACTTTGAAAGTCACCAAGAGTCTTATAACTAACTAGCTGTTGTAAGTGCTTCAAATATTTGGAATGGAATGGAATGTATGGAATCCCCATTCACCTCTTGCATGATGTATGTGTAGTTCCACCTTGTTAAATCACGAAAAGGCAATATGTAAGCTGCTCGGAGTGTTCAGGTCAAACAGAATAGATGTGTATGTAGTACCTGTCGCAGGATATGCCCTGACAGCCTGTACGTGCCGTTCACCCCCTTGCTCTTGAAGAATTAAGATTTGCTTTTTGCTGCAAATATGAGCATGCAGGCCATTGTTGATCATATGCATGAATTATTATCACAATATTGTGAGAGATTGCAATATGTCTGAAGCACATTTATGATCTACACTCTCGATACATACACAGGGAATCAAAACTTGTATTTACCCAGGGATGGATTAAGTTAATCACAGAGAGAGAAGAAGAAGAAGAAAAGTTGGAACCAGGTGCGCCGTGAATATGCGCCTCCGGGTACTCCGTACAACGCAGTGAAACAGACGAGTCCTGCCCAATGATAAAAGAATTACAAATTCCATATGAAAACTTGGGGGAAGAAAATAACAAATTCCCCCTGAAAAAAAATTAATAACCAATGTTCGCATGTTCATGTCCCTCATTCCCGTTAATCCAGGATACTGGATTAACATAACCAACCACAACCAACCCCTCATCTGACCGGGACCGAAGTGGACATCATAGTAGGATAGAAGACAGGAAATTGGCGTTGGTCAGTCACAGACTCATAGTTTGCTTACAGGAAAGCAACGAGAGCAGCACCGGCAACCATACCGAGACCGACGGGGCCAGCGGTGGCCATAGCAGCACCACCGGTAGAGGCTGAGCCGGAAGCGGAAGCAGAAGCAGACGAGCTGGAGCTAGAACCAGAGCCAGAGCTGGACGAGGACTCGGAGGAGTCAGACGAGCTGGAGCTAGTGGAGGAGGTACCAGTGGCGTTAGAGGAGGATGAGGTCTCGGTGCCGGTAGCAGAGGAGCCGGTGCCAGTGCCAGTGCCGCTGGAGGCAGTAGACAAAGTGGTCTGAGTGGCGCCGGGACCGGCAACGGGCGAAGTCAGGCCAGCGGGGATGGAAGCGGCGGGCTCTTGCGAGGTCACGGCAGCAGCCTGGCTGGTGACAGCAGTGGGCTGAGTAGTGATGGCTTCAGGTTGGCCAGTCACGACGCCGAGAGAGTTTGTCTGGGTCAGGTACTGAGTGGCAGGGTGGTCGTCAACGGCGGTCTGTTTGGTTGGTTAGCTTATGTTGTTCTTTTGGTAGTGTGGTATGATGTTTTCTGCTTACCTCGACGGAGGCACTGCTCTGGGCGTTGGCCAGAGCGATGGCCGAGAGGGTAGTGAAGACAATAGAGAAACGCATTTTGATGGATTAGAGATTATTGGATGGAAATATTTATTGTAAGGAAATATGGAGGATGTGGAGAGAGAGAAAAAAATAAAAGTGATCTCAGGAAAAGGCTGGGGGTGGTGGGATTATAAGGCTGTTGTCCTGGGAAACAACAGAAGTCTCATGTTGTACCCCGTACGGAGTAGACTATTTACCCACGCACATATTAGACCGAAAGTGGCTTTTGCCAATTACCTGTTCCAGTCAGCGACCAGAGTCTGGATCTAGCGTAATTTTCGATCTGCAAGGTCTTGCAGTTCTATTTTGGTCAATTTTCTGGGGTCACACCAAATCCCACAAGCCCTATCTATGTATTTGGGTTATATTCATAGGGACATTCACCTCTACAATGCTACGTGGCGAATATTTTTAACTGCAACAATAGCAAATATAGAATGTGTCCCTCTTTCTCTACAAAATCATGAAAGAATCGAAATAATTGGAATAATAGAACTAATTGGAATACTTGGCATATTGACATGGTGGCAATATGCCGACACTAGCTAGCTTAGCCCACCCTGCACTCCGTAAGTAATCATAACAATTATAGTAATCTATACTCCGTAAATTTGGAACGATATGTGTCTCAATTTCAGCCTTGGATAATTTAGTCGCCTAAAAGCTTACTACCCTGGAAGTTACTACCTACACTGTACGGAGTGTACTCCGTAATACAACATAGGTGGGACATACCCTTGACCGCGTGGCGGCATACGAATCCCTTTTGATGCCATCTAGTTTAGTTTTGGATTTTCTCACATCTGACTCAAATACATACTATGTATAGTTAAACTACTCCGTATGAGTAATAGTTTCTTAGGCCTCAAATGGCGCGATCCTACGTGTCTTGGGGCTAAGAAAGTCGAACCAGCCTCCAAGTGAGACATCACTTTGGCTGTCATCAAATCAGGTATGCCGAGGTTAATTCCATATCTTTTCTTCTACTCCGTACTCGGCATTATTGTATTATCATGTTATTATGGTAAGGATATAGCCAGTTTTAATAATATCTAATTTACAAATCCTACCTTACGGAATACAATACTCCGCGAATTATCTCGGCATCAGCAACCCCAACTCGTACTTTGTAAACTCCTCAGATCATCAGACTAATCCAAAGGTGGGTCAATTTGAGACAAGTCAACGGCTCGGTTAACTCCATCCAGTAGGGATCACATCTATATTTATATTTTCTTTTTCCTGGGCAGTATCTTGACTAAAATAGCGCTATCTTCCTCTAACACAGAATGTCAAAGTGGACGAAGAGAGTCGAAATACAATACATATGTACATATACTCACACTGTGCACCTCGAGGGTTTAAGCTTGATCCCAGAGCACTGCAGACGGTCTTTATTTTGACTAGCTGGACAGGTATGTAGTACTATTGATTTGCATAACTATTGTGTCATTAGGTTGTACAGCTACATCGTATGTAAACAATCTACAGGACTACATGGCTACGCCTGCAATTCACCTTGGTCTCGACTTGCCTTGTACCCATCACCAGATACAGAATTGCGATCATCTCAACGCGTGATTTTCTATGCTGAGAGCCAAGCATTCTCCCACGACTTTGGAATAAGCTTGCCTTTTGCTACTATGCAGGTGATATTAACCCCCCTTGCTTATTGGGCTCATCACAACAATTAGGCGGAGTCATGCTTTCAATGGCCTAGACTATATACAACATACTACATCGCCATCCTACATCGGTGTGGCGCGGGAACGCAAATCGGGTGCGCCAAACGCGTCTACGTCTAGCAGTGATTCCATTTCCCAAGGTCACAAGCAGGCAAGTAGGCAGGCAGGCGGGCAGGCATACGGGTGGTATGTCTGTGCGACTTCTCGGTCGCCTTGCATAAGTCGGGGGTTTGCCACCTTATCATCGGCGCATGCCACCAGTTATTCTCCAAGATTAGTACACGACCATCGATTCCCGAGGTAGATATCGTAATCAGCAACAAACTGAGCATCTCAATTGAAACCTGAATTCTTTCGCCGCAATGCATATTATACAGCTCCCCCCACTGCAGCACATAATCACAAACTCAATATTCAATATCCGACAATCACTCCTTGATCAACACATCCTGACCGCGAACCCAGTCAGCAAACTCCTTTCGCTTAGCCTATATTTTTTTTTTCCAAATGTTAGCGTCCAAGATTCCTGACCCAAAAGATTGATGTCCAGCAATAAAAGCACATCTCCAATAAACCCAAATCCAAATCCAGATGTAGTTCTGGTAAGACATGCATCCAAGTAGATATCTAAGACTCACCCGAATATCCCAGAATCCATAACGCTCCTCCAGACTCAGGTACGGGTTGCGCGCTCCGCCGTCCCGTTCAATCTCGCCCGCCCATTCGCGCCAGCTAATCGGCTTCAACTTCTGCGCGCTCAAGACCAGTCCGATTGAAACAATTAATACAGAAACGAGGGTTTCGATGATAATGTCTTGTGGGAGGGCGGTGGATGTAAGGTTGCTGTAGAGGACAGTGTGTTCGTGGGCCGAGTAGCCTCTGTAGAGGGGGTTGTTAGCTTCGCTCGAGTGGGGGGGAGTAGATATGGTTGTCAAGCGGATGATTGGAGAGCTTACGCGTGAACTATCAGGACGAGGCCAAAGAAAGTGACCGCGCGGGAGAGGAAGCTCATGATGGGGGGTGAGGTTGGTTTTGGGTTGCGGGTTGGGGTTCGGTGGATAGGTCGGGTCGCTGAGGATTTCTGCGGGTTTTTCTGGTCGGTGGATAACTGTAGATAATTCCCACTGGACTATTGAGTTTGGGATGAAGCCTGGGGTCCCTGTCTCTGGACAGTGTTGTGATGCCGTTTGATAAGTTGGCGGGAGGTTCGTGGAGGCCCCAGCTTTCAGGCTCATCCCGCGGTTTACCTAATCAACTTTTAACTCCAGGGCTGGCTGGGATTTCATCACATCTATTTGTTTGTTCATCCTGCTATTGAAAATGATTCATGATTTTGTTTAATGGGGGCTTCTCTGGTTAATAAAAAGGGTATATCCCCAGCTAACTACTCAGTGAACGTTGTATTCATTCCTTGCAATATGAACCCCGAAACTGGATATCAAAACGATCTCCAGGTGCAGCGGCCTGAGTTCCCGTCTGGCTTATATACACACATACTGTAGCGTAACTTTGCTTGCATGATATTGCCATGAATAGCTTTTGAGAGAAAAGACAATGCATGTAATATATGCGTATGGTGCTAAGGATGTGATGGGTGTGATGGGTGATATGCACAATCGTTACGCGGTGTTGATAGGTAATGCTGAGCTAGCCTGTATCAGGTATACTTACGAGAGTCGTGTCTTCAAGCAGAACTCGCAACCTTGCCATCTCCTGATTCGCTAGGCTTTACACGGGCTGAGGTCTATAAAGTAGTCATGTAAAGGTGCAGATGGAAGACCAACAGGGCACCGGATGCAGCCCTGGACAAGGCAATACATGGTGCGACGTGAACATTAGTAGTATTCGTTTTCCTGGCCCATTGTGAGTCAATTATGACTTACTATCTACTGGACCGGGTAAATGAAGCTTCCGCTCTGTGGATAAAAATCTTCAGCGAGTATGAATATATGAATTTCCCCTTCTATGTAATGACTGACAAGTTAAACAACATTTGGCAACCCCCGGGCTCTCTACCGAGTCTAGCAACCACCCCATAACACCTTCCCAGGCACGATCTTATCGTGATATATTCCCATCAGGTGGGCGAATGAAAGTATACGTCCATACAGTTGAAATAGCTATTGAGCACATGCATTGATATTTCGCATGTTCAACCCCAATTGAGTCACCACAAAACGCCAAGTGCGAAAACAGAATCGAGCTGAAGAAAAGCAGAAGATAGGAGTCTTTTATAGGCGTGCCGCTAGCTAAATCAAATCAAATCCGTGCTTGTGTTGAGCAACGGGGTAGCAACTAAGGATGCCCCGATCCCAGACGTGGGGTTTACCTGAAGGTACCCAGCGTTCATCTCTCTTTCTCTGCTATCGACACCGAAAAACACATCTGACGAGTATGGCTATCGATATTAATAGAAACACATGTATGATATGTTTAGCTAACGCTTGGTAAAACAGGGCAACAAAGGGTCGAGGTTTAGGTCGAGATCAAATATTCCAATACTAAAAACAACATACACGAAAGTTCCTACCCGGAGCGATAACGGCTACTGATCTTACAAGATACAGTATCCAACAAAGATCCGGGGGTCAAGGTGTGGTAAATCACACGGGCCATACCTACATAGGGATACACAAAGTGGCGGCGGCCCGAGTATTGTGTTTCCCACGAAAGGTTTGTGTGGGATGCTCGAATGGAACCTGCCGTCTTAGATACTTTCGCTACTCTGTGAGGGACAAATGAACTTTTGGTGGGCCTTGACAGCCTAAACGTCACGTTCCCAAATCGACCTGACGCACCAACACGGAAACCTTGAGAACACGTGGATCAATCGCCTCTTCGACGGGGACTGCATTGTGTACGAGGTATCATATTGCTTGTCGCCATCTGGTCCCGAAGAGATGGTGGTCTTGTCATATGGCCCGGATCCCATGCACATAACGAAGAATTTTTCAATTCCCGTCCAGACAAGGACTCTTGGTTGCCGCTTAAACACGTCTACTTCTTTCCAGCCGAACAACTGGAGCTTGTAGGGGCTAAGCCTTATTAGGTCAGGTCATCTCTGTTGCAGTTATATAGTAGTACCAATACAAGGACGGAAGGGTAGCGGAAATATATATCGGGACATAAAGAGGAAATACCTTTCAAATGAGTTTTCAATGAATTCTAAAGCTTCGCCCGTATCATGTAGAATAGGTACTAACTAACTACCCCAGCATCTACAACATATGCAGGCTTCATAACCCACGTCTCCTTCATCCACAAGAATATTATGACGAGACAGAGACGTCAACAGAAACAACTCAGCGACTAGACCAGGTACCTAGATAATTGTGATTAATTAAATTGATTCAATGTTGGTTAGAAGCTATGCACATGTACATATTGAGTGTTGAGATATCGAATGCCCAAGAAGTCGATATCTGTCTTTTGAAAAATCAGTCCAGCAATCACCACTCCGGTATCCTGTAGGAAAGTTCCTTCCAAGAGGGACACAGGAAGCTTGACACAATTATGGGCAAATTACAGCAGAAAATTTACAGGGGGTATATAATGGTCATGAATTTTTTTTAATTTTTCATCAATGACCGGTCACAACTGGACCAGCTTTCTAGTTGGACTAGGTTCGTAAAGGATTCCTTTGACATCACGCATTTCCATCACACAATTCCTGCTTCATAAATGGGCATCGCAAATTTACAGCTTCTGCATGGCAGCGATGTCAGTGGACTGGACGTGGTCCTCATCCTCCTCGATCGTCTGCTGGAGCTCATCGGTGGAGACCTTGTCGTCCTCAACGACAAGGTTGATCTGGAGCTTCTTAATACCGAAGCCGACGGGAACCCACTTGGAGGCACCCCAGACGAGGCCATCCCACTCAACGGCACGGACGTTGGCCTCGAGCTCCTCAAGGTTAGTCTCATCATCTGAAAATGTTTGTTAGCATCTGAAGTAAAGAAGAGTTTGGAAAACACATACCCCAAGGCTTGACCTCCATGGTGACGATAGACTTGGCGGCGGGCTTGGTCTTGCCGGCCTTCTTGGCCTTGTATTCCTCGAGACGCTTGTTGCGCTCAGCAACGACCTCGGGGTCCTCCTCCTCAGAGTCGGAGCCGAAGAGGTCCTCATCATCATCCTCCTCCTCGGGCTTATCCTTGGGGTTGGAAGGAAGCTCGGTGGTCTCGGGACCGTAGGCAGTGAAAGCTGCGGAGGAGTCACCGGGGAGGGTGGAGAATTCGCTCTCGTAAGAGGCGATGTGCTTGTACCAGCGGGCAACGTGGGGGTACTTGGCAGCGTCAGGGGCGGCGCTGACGGCCTTGAAGGTCACGACATCGGCCTGGCTGGGCGAGTTGCTGTTGAACAGAGTCAGCATTGATGTTCACATCAGATGTAAAAGTATTCAACAATGTAGCATAGTAAAGCCAGATCAGAGGTGCGATTGCTCGCGATTGGGTGTAGTCATCTAGCGGGGTCTTAATCCGCCTCCTAAACACGGACCAATGTTTCTCATCATGAAAGCATAACAGGAAAGGAAAGAAGAAGGGGAAAAATAGGGCAATTAAAGGGGGGAGGAATTCATACCCAACAACGTAGGACCGAGTGGACAGGAAGTGGTTGGCCACTGAGGGGCACAGTCAGTCACCAATTGATTCGAAATAACAAAATCTCAGGGGCGCCTACGAGTCAGGCCGGCATCAGAGACAAAGTCGGTGAAACCCATTGTGAAAGAGAGGTGTGTTGGTATCTGGAAGGAAAAGAAAAAAGGAGAAGAAAGTAGATGAGGGAGGGGTTAAAAAGGGAGGATTTTTTTTTTATTACGGAAAATCTCTTACGGAGTCACGGAAAAACGTGGAAAAGCGAAGACTGGTCAGGTGACTTATTGGCGAGCTTGTCTGGACTGGTCATGTGATTGACTGGTGACTTCAGGATAGAAAGCTTTGACTAGTCAGGTGACTAACTGGTGACGGCGCTGCAGCTCTCTCCGCCACTTAGCGTTCGCTATGTGGATATTTCGAGAAGCCTCCCGAGGGACCTTGGTTGTTGGTACTTAAGCTATACCAGTGACATGTCAGGTCTTGGGTTACTTCACGGTTTTTTGTTATTATTTCCATCATCTACATAATGGCCGCGAGATTATCCCTCAATGCCCGCAGCCGGCTTCTGCGAACGCCTCACCTATCATCGACGCGCCTTCTGTCTCCGATCCCGAGATCAAGCATACTGCCCTGCGCCTCTATCATTCTACCAGCCGTCAACCATAGCCCAGTATATGTCCGCCACTATGCCAAGGGAGGCCGTCCACACCCCCCCAGGTGGCACCCACCGCATGGATATGAGCGGAGAGGACGAGAAACCAGCACTCGAAAAGTATGGTGTTGAGCTCACGGAGAAAGCTAAAGCTGGCAAGTTGGATCCAGTTATTGGACGAGACGCCGAGATTCACCGAACTATTCAAATCCTGTCCCGACGAACTAAGAACAATCCCGTGCTGATCGGTGCTGCTGGAACTGGTAAGACCGCCGTTCTCGAAGGGTTGGCTCAGCGCATCGTACAAGGAGATGTCCCGGAGAGCATCAAAGACAAAAGGGTTGTTGCATTGGATCTAGGTTCTCTAATCGCGGGAGCCAAGTTTCGGGGCGATTTTGAGGAGCGTCTGAAAGCCGTCCTGAAGGAAGTGGAGGATGCGCAAGGTGGGGTGATCCTCTTCATTGATGAGCTCCACACTTTGCTGGGACTGGGCAAGGCCGAGGGCAGTATTGATGCTAGTAATCTGCTCAAGCCTGCTCTGTCGCGAGGCGAGCTTCAATGCTGTGGTGCCACTACTCTCAACGAATATCGATTAATTGAAAAAGATGTGGCTCTTGCCCGACGGTTCCAGCCTATTCTAGTGAGTGAGCCATCGGTCGCCTCGACTATTTCCATCCTACGGGGCATCAAAAACAAATACGAAGTACACCACGGTGTCAGAATTACAGATGGTGCTCTAGTAGCTGCAGCTACTTACAGCAATCGATATATCACCGATCGATTCCTCCCCGATAAAGCAATTGATCTTGTCGACGAAGCTGCATCGGCTCTACGCTTGCAACAGGAGTCGAAGCCCGATTCAATTCGGGAACTCGAACGTGATATCACCACAATCCAAATCGAGCTTGAGTCTCTTCGCAAGGAAACGGATGTTGCCAGCCGCGAACGGCGGGAGAAGCTTCAAGAAGACCTGAAGACCAAGCAAACGGAGGCCGATAAGTTGACCGAAGCCTGGGAGGAGGAGAAGGCCGAAATCGATGCTATCAAACGAACCAAGGAGGATTTGGAACGCGCTCGGTTTGAACTTGAGCAAACTCAACGCGAAGGAAACTTCGCCAGGGCTGGAGAGTTGAGATACTCTACCATCCCGGACCTCGAAGCCAAGTTACCTAAAGAGGGAGCTGAACAGGATCCTCAAAATCAAACCTTGATTCATGACTCAGTTACTGCAGATGACATTGGAAATGTCGTCTCTCGGACCACAGGCATCCCCGTTAACAAGCTCATGGCTGGAGACGTGGAGAAGCTGATTCATATGGAGGACACTCTCCGAAAATCAGTCCGTGGACAAGACGAGGCGCTTTCTGCTGTGGCGGACGCCGTACGGATGCAGAGAGCTGGTCTCAGCGGAGAACACCGCCCTATGGCCTCATTCATGTTCCTTGGTCCAACGGGTGTTGGAAAGACTGAGCTCTGCAAGAAGATGGCTGAGTTCCTTTTCTCCACCGAAACTGCTGTTTTGCGGTTTGATATGAGTGAATTCCAGGAGAAACACACAATTAGTCGTCTTATCGGTTCCCCTGCCGGGTATGTCGGATATGATGATGCTGGACAACTTACCGAGGCTGTCAGACGGAAGCCTTACGCTGTTCTGTTATTTGATGAATTCGAGAAGGCGCATCGCGATATCTCAGCGCTACTGCTGCAGGTCCTCGATGAGGGCTTCTTGACAGATGCCCAAGGCCACAAGGTCGATTTCCGAAACACCCTGATTGTGTTGACCTCGAACCTTGGAGCTAGTATTTTGGTCGGAGCTGACCCCTTGCACCCAATTAAAGACTCCGGTGATGCTGAGCTTCCAGAAAAGGTCAAAGCGGCTGTTATGGATGTGGTTCAGAGCTCATACCCACCTGAGTTCATGAACCGAATTGATGAATTTATCATCTTTAGGCGCCTATCGAAGGATGCTCTACGTGATATCGTCGACATCAGAATCAAAGAGCTCCAGGCCAGACTCGACGACCGCCGTATGACTCTGCAGGTTGACGGTGAGACCAAGAACTGGCTGTGCGAGAAAGGCTACGACCCGAGATTTGGTGCCCGACCTTTGAACCGTCTCATTTCTAAGGAGATTGGAAACCGCTTGGCTGATAAGATCATCCGAGGTGAAGTTGTCTCTGGTCAAACTGTCCAAGTTTCTCTGGATGAAGCTAAGTCTGGCCTGGTGGTAACCACGCAAGAGTAAACGAAAACATGAACATGAAATCTAGCGTTCTTATGTGGTGCATACGATGTTTTGTGTAACCTCTTTGGAAAAAATGTGCGATTGCATGTCGAATCTCCTCTAATATATCATGACTGTACGACTTTGTATACTAGTCCACTCACTCATTGTACAATAATCCAGTTCTAATCATATTAATCATATTAATCATATAGCTTGTTTTATGTAGGCTCGAAGGGCGACCCGTGGACAGGTGACTAGGCCGACTTCCCATCAATAGAAACCCACCATTTCATTCTACTCATCATTTCCCTTTCTCATCGCATCTCTGGAGATCCCAATTACATTGGCCTCGGCAAGATGCCTTCATTAAAAAGAAAGAGAACACCAGCTTCCCGCCCTCCAATTACACCTCGTACCTCTGGGCGACACAGAGCCCCATCAAGTCAAGCCCTCAACATTTTAAGTGGTCCCCCTCAAACTCCTATCATTTCATCGACAACTCAATTGCGCACTCCATTTCCTACAGATGCTAGGATCGAAACAGATCGTTCGGTGAGGGCTACTGATGATGACTTCGATGATCATGTCATTGCTGCCATAGACATGAAGGATCATGGAACTGTAGGATGTTCATACTACTCAGCCGAGGAAGAAAAGATGTATCTGCTTGGAGACAGTCGCTCAGGTGATATGGAGACAATCGACGCTCGTGAGTTTATTACTTGTTTATGTCTAGATTTGAAGTGCTAATCGGGCCATATACAGTGCTTCTCCAAATCAAGCCTACAGTGGTTTTAACACCTCCTCGTGTCGATCTTAGTTCGCAAAATCAAGATCACATCGCACAAGAAGATGGTACATTTGCCTTTCCCTGGAGCTCTTTGACCCTTTCTAGTGTAAGCAAATGCTGATAATTTCTGTCTAGTTTCCTCTACCTACCTTCCTTACCAGGTAGACGTTCGTCCAACGCCGGAGTTCAGTTACTCCAATGCAGAAAGCAAACTCCTGGCTTTAGAAATTTCATCTACGCACGAACAGCGCATCCGGTTTTTCGTGCCTCAAAATGGCCTTGCCGGACCGGAAGAAGTGGACCCAGAAGAGATGGGCTTCACACTCCAAGAAGGAAGACTGTTGCATATCTCAAGCTCCGTCGACATGGAGAACCCCGTGACTATTGGCTGTGCAGGGGCCATACTCACCTACCTACAGCGAAGAAGAGCAGCGGCGCCTAGCCCCCTTGAAGAAGGAAATGAGTATCGGATTCGAGCACTGCAGATGTTCAACCTACGGGATACGATGTGGATCAACAGCAACACCTTCACCTCTCTCCAGATTATCCAGTCGGAGTCACACCCGAATATGTTTAATCAGGGTCCAGGGAAAGAGTCAGCTTCAGGTAAAGAGGGTCTTTCGGTCTATGGGCTCTTCCAGCACTTTGCATACACCCCTCAGGGTAGGGCAAGACTCAAGCAAACATTTTTCCGTCCAAGCATGGATATAGCTGCGATTCGTGAACGACATAATTTTATAGGAGTCTTCTCCCGCCCTGACAATCTTGCTGCATTGGAGAAGATGACCAAAGCATTGAAACACATCAAAAACCTCAGACCTGTCATGATCAATCTTCGCAAGGGAATTAGTACTGGCAGTGCTAAAGTTACTGGGTTCAAAACTACGGTCTGGGCTAGTCTTCTTGCTGTATGTTTAATTCGCCATAATCCGTCTATGCTAGTTCTTGCATTGCGATACTAATGTGGTGACTGACCAGTTTGCGTTCTACTCTATCGACATCAATGATGCACTGCGAGAGGTCTCTAGCGCGCACAGCCTGACTCTCCGAACCAAGGTCAATCCCCAATCGGTATCTCATTTATTCGTGTACTGACGCCTTGCAGGCTCTCAAAGTCTTTGAGGCAGCACAGCTGTACAGAGTTGGTCGTATGGTTCAAGAAATTGTAAGGCCCCTTTTAATAGGAATTAATAACGCATCTAACTTTTTAGGTTGATATTGATAACTCCGAAGAGCAAGGAAGAACAGTGGTTAAGCAAGGGATCGACAGAGATCTTGATAGAATCAAAGACAGATACGATGGTCTCAACAGCCTTCTCAAGCACGTTGCGCTCGACATTGCCGCAACAATCCCGGCGACTCTCGATGTCGACGTCAATGTAATTTACTTCCCTCAGCTTGGGTTCAACATTGCCATTCCACTCAATGATCATGGTGTCGCGGTCTATACTGGCTCCGATGACGAGTGGGAATTGATGTTCATTACGGAGAATCAAGCGTATTTCAAAGACTTCCGCATGAGAGAGATGGATGAGAAGTTGGGGGATATATATAGTATTATCTGCGGTAAGCTTGTTGGATTAATGGGAACCTATGGAGATGGGAAACTAAAAGGTGCGCCTTGACAGAGAAAGAAATCGAGATTGTTTACGACTTGGCGCAGAGGGTTCTTCGATATGAGAATGTGCTCATCGATGCGTCTGATATTTGTGGAGATATTGATAGGTTAGTTCTTGTGGGACATGTTGCGAGCTCGCAGTCCGCTGATACAAAGTCACAGTCTTCTTGCTCTCACACAGGCAGCCGGCTTTTATAAGCTGACCAGACCACGAATGGTTGAACAAAATGTGATCAGAATCAAAGGTGGCCGGTAAGACCTCACCAACAATCAACCCTCGACATCCCTGACAAATGGAAGACATATTCTTCAAGAATTGACTGTTTCGTCCTATGTGCCAAATGACACATTACTTGTGGGTGGAAACGAGTCCGATGCCAATGATGCTGTTTCGTCCATGGATTCCAATCCCAGCATGCTGCTCTTAACTGGACCGAACTACTCCGGGAAAAGTGTCTATATCAAGCAGGCAAGCTGTATTTTGTCTTTGTAAGACTCATTTTCTGACTTAGAATCAGGTTGCTCTGATTGTCTATTTAGCGCAGATTGGGAGGTATGGTCTCTTTCCATTAAGATGGTCATACAAAGGCTAATAGCCACAGCTTTGTTCCTGCAGACAGTGCGGAACTGGGAGTCACGGATAAGATCTTGACCAAAATCAATACCCAAGAGAGTGTCTCCAAGGTATCTCAAACTCTGTGCATAAAGTCTTGGACTTGGCAGGCTCACATGTCTTTTAGGTCCAAAGCACATTCATGAACGATTTGCAGCAAATCTCTCTCTGCCTGAAACAAGTCACAAATCGAAGCTTGGTCATCATCGATGAGTTTGGGAAGGGAACCAACGAAAGCGGTTTGTCCTCTCTAGATATCGCTCTTGATGCAGGCTAATCAGCGCATTCAGATGGCATCGGACTTGCCTGTGGCATACTCGATTATCTGCTGTGCCTCGACAGCCCCGCTAAGGTCATTGCAGCAACTCATTTCCATGAGATTTTCGAGAACAACTTCCTCGCGTTGCGGCCTCGACTCCAGCTTGGCCATATGGAAGTTCAAGTCTGCGAAGAAACCCAGGAAGTCGAGGACCAGATCACGTATCTTTATAAGTATGTGCAGGAACACTGACTCCTGGGTTAATGGTACGTGAATGATGCTTACAGTTTGGACAGCTTCCGTCCGGGGCGAAGTAACAAGAGCTTTGGTACCATGTACGTCCTGCTTTTTATTATACCTGCATTACCCTTATTTAAAATCGGTTGACCTGCCGTATAGTTGTGCGGCAATCAACGGTATCGACCCAGCTATTGTATCTCGCGCAAATGAGATTGCGTCTCTTTCGGCGCGAGGGGAGAACATTGTCGCGGCCTGTGCAGTCCTATCCTCAGAGGAGATGCAAGACCTAGAAGAAGCGGTAGGAGTTCTTATTTTTCTAAAAAGAAAATGAATTGGACTAACAGCGTTAATACAAGAACTCCCTAGCGAGAGGTTTTCTGGAGGTTGATTTCTCACAGGGTGGCTCAGACCATGTCAAGGAAGTTTTCGAAGGCCTGTTCGAGTGAAAGGATTTATTATTATGGCACCAAGCGCATGGAGGTCAATGATCCATTGGTATCCCAAATCGCCATACGAAGTACAACATATATTTACGCCATACCCGCGGTGCTGATCTATCCCATCAGGAGAATGAAGTATCTTTTATATGGATGTCCGCGGGTCGTATCTAGATCGGGAACAACAGTCTACGTATCATAGTAGCTAGAATCCCTAGTGCATCAATCGCATCATGTACCTACTAGGAGAAGATGGATCGAGATGAATGAAACGGTTTTTGCAACTTCGGGTAAACCAAAAGATGAAATCGGGGTTATATACACATCGAATGCCTGAAACTGCCCACAGTGAACGCCGTGAAAACATACACACAAGACCGTGAAGTTTATGAACAAGCACACATTCACAGTTTGACACTCTTGACCAGGTTCTTTTTGATACCCGTAAGCTCACCACCGTATCCACCACGGGCCTCGCCGCCCTTGTACAGCTGCTTAGTACTGCCAAGCTTCTTCTTCTTCTCCTCGTACTTCTTTCTCTTCTTGACACGCGGGTTACGCGAGTCCTTGCTGCGTTTTGCGTGCAAACCCTTATTCTTCTGGATTTGGTACGTGATAGCACGCTTGCCATCCGGACCAACCTCCTCTTGCTCATAGACTTTTCCGCCAAGGCGCTCAGCCTCAGCGTGGGCATCTGCACGAGCCTGCTTGTCGTCCTTGCGCTTCTTGGAGCGGGATGCCACCATGTCGTAGTATTCGTCGTCATCGGCGTCCTCCTTGGCACCCTCACCACGGCGGAGCTCCTTGGCGACACGACGATCCTCGTCGTCACTATCACCGCCCAGCTGCTGGTCAGGGTTGAGTTCTTTGCGGCCACGCTTCTCGGCTTCCACGTTGAGACGGGCTTGGCGATCACGCAGACGTTCGCGGTATGGAAGATCGGCGTCTCCGCCGGCATCTCGGCCTGCTGCATTGCGCTTGTTGGCCTTCTGGGCCAGTTGCGAGGTGTAGAACCGGAGCGAGCGCTTCTGCTTGGCCTTCTCCTCTGCCTCGTGGGCTGTGAGGGCATCCTCGTCACCGAAGTCAGAGTCATCATCCTTGAGAGGTGCCTTGACCTTTTGTGTCTTGCGTTTCCGTGAAGGCTCGGTGGCCAGGTTCTCGAGATCGGCGAGGCCGGCCTCTGTTTGGCGGAGACGCTCGGCGCGGAGGGCTTCAGCTTCTGCCTGTGCTATCTCGGCCTTGCTGAGCTTCTTCTGTTTGGGCTTCTTGGTCTCTTGGGTCTTCGGTGCCTTGGTTATCTCGGTCTTGGTCTCCTTAATGGGCTCCTCAACGGGATCCTCAAGCTCCTCGAGATCCTTGACGGTGTTCCACAGTTTCCGGAATTTGACAAGCGATCCCATGACAGGGTGTTGTCGGAGTTCGGCGGGGGTCATCGGAACGTGTTCGCTAGTTGCATCGGGAGATGGGGAGGAGAGGAGCATGAAGTACATGCTGATTGTGCCAAGGTATGCAGATAACGCACGGAATTTCACCACGGGCACTGGTGATGGCTGTGGCTCTTCTGAGTCGTCGTCTGTTGAGGAAGCCTTCGAGGCTGCTTGTTGAAGAGTCTTGAAGGGGCTTTGAAGATCCACAAAGTCCTTCGCCAGGGGTTCAAACTCGGGGTATCTCGACTTCAAAATCTTCAGCTTCTCATCGGTATCCATATCCTCGGTGATCTCCAATTGCGGTAGCACTTCAGTCACCACGCCGGCATCGGCGCCGTCCTCTGCGCCTTTGCCAGATTCCACCCATTCAGACTCGTCAAACCCGAAATCGGCCTCATTCATAGCCTGCAACTGCTTCAGTTGTAGTCGCTTGGCCTCCTGCTCTTCCTCCAATGCATCGACCTCGGTCTCGATCTGATCTGCGTTGTAAAGATCCTTCTTTGATGAGCCCCAAGCAGCAATGCCTTCTTCATCTTCTTCCTCGGATTCGGCGCCACCCTTTGGCTGGCCCATATCATCATATTCGTCTTCTTCTTCTGAGTCTTCAGGGTCGTCATCCTCGTCTGCAGATTCATAGCCAAGGATTTCTTCGTCGGAGGGTTGGATCAAATCCTCTGCGGCGATCAGTAAGACACCATTTGCACCAGGTTATATCATCATTAGGGCCACATACCTTCCTCGGCAACTCTCCGCCGTCTCTTTGTCTCTGGGCCTTCCTCAAGTAGAATCTGATCACGGCCGGTTTGGAAGTCATCTTCTGAGTCTTCGAATCGCTCTTCGATGTCGAACTTTGAAGGTTCAGGGGCTGTTTTCGGTTGCGCCGGGCGACCGGCTTTTCTCTTTTTGCTGCCCATTTTTTGCGTGTAGAAATCAAACGACAGTGAACCAATTCAGTCGGTCCGATAAACTGTGATAAAATTATTTTTTGCCCTCTCACCGCCTTGGTTGCGCTAACCTCAAGTAGGGGCCTTTGCTCTGTTTGCGCTTTTGGTAATCTAAATACCAGTAACTTTACGATGGCACACCTTCAAACATCCACAACAGAACGGATCTCGGGTATTTCTGTGTCACCGGTTTAATACCCCGAGTGTGCCTTCCATTTCGGGGACAATCAACAGACACACCTGCCATTTACACACCTGCCATTTATCCACGATGGATCCTCGCCAGTTAATTGCTCGTTTCCATCTGCCTCAACTTTTCTCCTCCTTGCAATCCTCTTACAATAATACATCAACCCCTATATTAGTCACTTCCACACTCATTTGCACGATTATCCTTTACACTATTGCTAAGATGTTCGGGTTCCAAAACGACTTCAATGTCTTGGGCCAGGTATGTGCAAGACGTGCAATACTACGTGGTTAGTGTGATACGTGCTGACTGGATCTTACAGACTGTGGTAATTACCGGTGGCTCCGATGGCATGGGCAAAGCTGTCGCACTCGAGCTAGCCGCGAAAGGTGCAAATGTGGTTGTGGTTGCGCGCACTGTCTCCAAGCTGGTGACTGCCGTCGATGAGATGAAGGTCGGACATCCCTCCATAATCAACTGATTAATATCGCTCACCTATCATCCAGGCCAAGGCACAAAATACCTTTAAGCAGAAGTTCCTTTATATCAGTGCCGATCTCACCGATCCCGCCGAGTGCGAAAGAGTCATCGCAGAAGTCACAACGTGGAATTCTGGAGCTGCTCCTGACATTGTTTGGTGCTGCGCGGGCTTCTCCAGCCCAGGATACTTCATTGATGTGCCCATCCAAGATCACCGACAGCAAATGGACACAATCTATTGGACTGCGGCCAACACAGCTCATGCCACCCTGCGCAGCTGGCTGGAACCCGTTGCTCCGAGTGGACAGATGAAAACTCCCCGGAGACATCTCATCTTCACCTGCTCTACCCTTGCATTTGTTCCCATCGCTGGCTATTCGCCGTACTCGCCTGCCAAGGCCGCCATTCGTTCTCTATCCGATACTCTGAGTCAGGAAATCGAAATGTACAATGGAGCCTATTCCCAACGGCACCGCAGTGATGCCCCGGCTGCAGATGTCAAGATCCACACCATTTTCCCTATGGGCATCCTCTCGCCCGGCTTTGACAACGAACAAAAGATCAAGCCTGAATTGACCAAAAGGCTCGAAGAAGCCGACAAGCCCCAGACGCCAGCGGAGGTCGCCGAAATCTCTATCCGTGCCCTAGAGCGTGGGGAGTACCTGATCACTACCAATCTTGTTGGTTCCATTATGAAAGGAACTGCCCTTGGGCCCAGCCCGAAAAATAGCATTGTCCGTGACACTATGCTCAGCTGGCTCAGCAACCTGGTATTCCTTCAGGTCATTCCGGATCTTCGCAACAAGGCGTTCGCTTGGGGAAAGCAGAACGGGATTCCGGGCTGTGCTCCGGCTTCCACTGCTCCGGCTTCCACTGCCCCGGCTTCGTGACGATGGAGTGTATTTTTGCTTTTTTCACATGCTTTGTCAACTGCTTCATGTATGATGATACCCTGAGCGCTGTCTATATGGCGCCTTCCTCAGGTGCCCCTCCCAACACCTAAACATTCTTCAATTCTTTTTAGCCTCTGTTATGCATTCCTATTGTATAGTAAGAATACATTTTTTTTTCTAAAACAAAAAGTCATGTCTACATTCGTATTTTTAGCACAATCTTAATGAAAGGCCGAAAGGCTCAACTTCGTACTTCAAAATGTACATTCGTGGGATGAGGGATGACGTATGATGGAGATAACCAAGCTTATCGGTTTATCCTGCCACCCCATTTCCCCATTTTCGACCTCGAAGTTTCTTTGTTCCCAATTGCTCTGCCCAGTTGGGATTTTTCAAAGAGTCTTTGTCTCGAATATGAATGGCAACTGATCACAGGTTACTATCTTTGGCACAAAGAGGAATTGCTGGAAAAACAGAAACAAAACCCTCACTCCCCCTCCGAAAGACTCGACGATAGCCATACACAAGCTACAACCGAATTCACCTTCGATTCTTTCAACATCATTAACAGCAATCGCCGCTCAAACTAGTGTCAAGATGGATGCCTTCTTCTCAATACCGATAATGTCTATCTTCCTCATTCCAGTCCTGTCGTCCTATAGCACCAGCCTGAACCTCCTCTTCTTCTACATGACTTGGTCAACGCTTGTACTGTCGCATTCCCGACTCCGCGTGGAAATGTTCGGAACGATCACTGTGCGCCTGATCTTCTACGCACTGCCGTCCATTGTCTTCTTCCTCTTCGATATCCTGACCCCATCGGCCGCTGTTCTCATCAAGGCGCATGGCGCAACCGGCTTGCCGGGTGGGAGGAGGCGACGAAAGATCCATATGAAGGAACTCAAGATTGCTGGGTGGGGGTTGTTCAATCTATTGTTGGGGATCGCTGTGCAGGGTGTACTCGAGATGGTACTTGTCCGGACGCTCGGCAAGCGCAGTGCGCTTAAGGTATCGCTGAAGCTCCCGACGCCATTTGAGATATGTAAGGATTTGAGCATGGCGATGTTGGGACGAGAAGTAAGTTTATTAACCTTTCCCAACTACATTGCTATGGTGCACCGTCGTTGATGGTCCAATTTGCTAACATTCTGAATTTTCCTTCTGCTAGCTCCTGTCATATCTCCTGCACCGCTACGCTCTCCACTCCACACTATCTCCTGTACTTTCCAGATGGCACCAGACTTGGTATCATTCGTTGTCTGCTCCGTTCCCATTGACCGCGCATTACGACCACCCGATCCCCTACCTGGTTACCAAGTTCATTCCGACTTATGCGCCGGCCATCATCTTCCGCTTCCATATGCTTACGTATATTTTGTATCTACTGTTTGTCTCTGTTGAGGAAACCTTTGCATACTCTGGATATAATGTCATGCCGACAACCCTATTCTTGGGTGGGATGGCCCGTCGCACAGATATGCATTTGTTGATGGGTGGAAGTGGAAATTATGGCCCATGGGGTGTTTTGGATTGGATTCTTGGCACTACTGTTGGAGAACCGCTTAGCGACGATGAGACGAGTGATGAGGCGGATGAACGGGAGGTGCGGAGAGCGTATGAGGTTGCGAAGCGAAAGGCTGTTGGATCTGGAAAGACAAAAGCGACGATGAGACGATGAGACGACCATTGACGAGTATATGATGAATCATTGGGATCGCAGGTAGGTATGTAGGTCTTGGCTTTGTTTGGTGTGGTTATTTGGAGTGTGAGTTGGGATTGTTTAAAAATATATCATCCAAATCTACAATATATATCCTTGGATTTTTGAGCTTTATAGTATTTTTGAAATGTTATCAATATTAATGTCAATAATATTTTGATTTAGTCTAATTATTCAATACTAATCCCAGTGTTATGCAATTGATAGCCAAGATGGTATACAATATATACAATATACATGGCTGGTACTTAGCCCTAATAATAACCGGAGTGGTGGTACTAGCCTCATCAACGATGATACTTGACACACCGTGTCAAGACATAATTTGTTTTATACTTCAATAGTCCACGCCTAGATCTTCCAGATCTTACAACTTTCAGTTCCACGCAATGTGGATATCCACTTAAAAGACAAGGCCCAGCAACCTTATATTTTAGTGTCTTACAAGATACTACATGACCATATAGATGAATCGAAGGAATTGCCCAATTTTGGATTGCCGCCTGAACCTTGAAATGGGAGTAGGTCATACTGAACATAAAAAGAGAATCCAGCCCGCCTGCTGGTACGAGGTGATTTTTAATCTTTTTTTTTGCTTGAAGTCTTTCTTCATAACGCAGCTTCATGCAAAATCAGCCACGCGCAAAAGGGAACGGGTTTCTTGAAACACGAAACATGAGAACGACATCCGGAATGTCCGAATTAACCGCAAATCATAAGAAAAGTGAAAAACGTGTTTTGACGGATCCCGTAGGAATTACATGACATGGTTCATGAAACCGGCCCCCCGAAAGTCGCGAAAGGATGCCGATCTGCAATCGAGCCGCCCCTCGTTGGAAAAATGGTCCTCCCCAACTATCTACCGAACCCGCGGCTACCACACATTTACCACTTCATCTCGTGGGGCTTGTCGCCGTTGCGGAGGCTGAAGGTGGTAGCGAGGTAGCTGCCGAGGAAATCCTCCTTCTTGATGGAGGCAAGGATAGCCTGGTCGATAGCCTTCTGGTCGCTGGCGCGAGCGCTGGCAACAACCTTCTTCTGTAAAGACGAAAAAAAAAGTAATTAGTATTTTGACCACTGCAAATATGTGATATCCTAGACAAGATGCGTACCTCGGCCTTCTCGCCCTGCTTGAAGAAAGCCTCCTCGGTCTTCTGCTCAGCCTTCTTGTCCTTGGTGAAGTATCCGGGAGCGGAGATCTTCTCAACAGCCTTGGCGTCAACACCGGCGATGTCGACACGCTTGGAGGTGGCGATAACGTAGCGGGAGTTCACGCGACGGAGGGGGACACCGTTGATCTTGAAAGGACCGGTGACAAGGAGGACACCCTGGTCGAGGGACTTGAGGAGGATGACACGCTTGCCACGGAAACGGCCAGCGAGGAGGATCAGGATGGTGCCGGGAACGAGGGTCTCGCGGACCTTGGCGGGACGCAGGGTCTTGCGAACCTGTAAACACACAAAGTAGTTAGTCTCTGATGTCACACAAATCCCAGCGATTCCCGATGAATCCGCAAGTATCTCCATCGCCGTAGCCGCATCTTCCCCAGATGATAATGCGATTCGCACAAGATCACAAGATTTGATGAACTTTTTCATGTGTCGTCGATTGACACCGGTGTCTGGCTGGATGTCGCCCCGTAATTCACAAAGGCTCTTCCTCAGAATACCGGTGCTATCGTCGCAATCATCGGGGGCAGATGTGTGCCGGTCGTATGTCCTCCTCTTTTTTGTGGCGTCCCATTTTCATAGGGTGTACTGACTTTCTTGGGCTGCGACTGATCGTCCACGGGGTACCACTTCTGGGCCTTGTCGGCGGGCACGACCCTCTGGCTCTTCCCGAACTGCTTCGTCTGGCCGTCCGACATGATGGCTGCTGGCGAAGGATGAATGGTTGTCGGGGTGGTTGTTGGAGATTTGGGTGAGGACTTGGACTGGCTAAGCGGAGTCGGCTCCAGTGCGGGAATTCGTCGAGGGTTGTGTGTACGAAGCCCTATCACGTGTTTAACCGACAGCCCTAGCCAATTTTGGAAAGCGGTAACTCAACACGTTGATGCCACATCTGTAAGGCCATTTTATACGGGCGACCGTAAAACCACTGACGCAGAAGCACTGCTCAACACAAACAACTGACGTATACCGCTCGCAGCCTCTCTCTCTTTCTGTATACTCTCTCTCTCTTACGTTCTCCACATCTCTTTTTTTATCTACCTGGAGGGAGCCAATTCTGTCAATACAGTATAAGCTATTATTGGATATCTGTTCAGAATCAAAATCCCAACATGTCGATAGCTCCGATCATCACCTTCAAAGCAGGTATCTGCGACCTGGATGTACGTGAGCTTAGCTTTCCGGACCCGACTGGGATAGTTCGATGATCAACTCCATCATCCGGATGTACTCTTATCTCTATTGCAACTTTACTGACAGTTTTAATCCAGCTCTCTAGCGCCGCCGTAAAGCCGAAGCCCACCCCAGGCTATGTCTACCTTTACTCCGAAGATGATCTTATCCACTTCTGCTGGCGCTCGCGTAGCGCCTCACTAGACGAGCCCGAGCTTGACCTGGTGATGATTCCTTCCGATGGCAGCTTCACTCCCTACAAGCCATCCGGTAGGGACGCTACGAATGGCCGGATCTTCGTCCTGAAGTTCTCCTCTAGCTCTCAGCGATACCTGTTCTGGATGCAGTCCCAGTCCCAGCACGAGGACGGCGACCCAAGCTGGTTCAGCCCTCGTGACTTAAAGCTTGGAGAAATTGTTGATGTTCTGCTGCAGGGTGAGGATGTTGATGTAGAGCACGAGATCGCCAATCTTCCCCGTCGGCCCTCGGGCGGTGATGACGATGAGACTATGGAAGATGTGGAAGGCACCCACCATGATCACGGCCGATACCACAGCACAGGCAGCGGTGGTGCTGGCCCCGATGCGACCGGTGGCGACGTGCGTGAGGAGGGACAAGGGTCGCGAGAGGGTGGTGCCGATGGTGGACGAGCGTAGGTACATATCTCTAACAGTCTTGCTCTAGGACATCCAAGCTAATTTGCCGTTCTTACAGAGCAACTACCGAGGAAGACCCAGCGTCGGTTGTCCAGGACTTTTTGAAGTCCCTGGGCGGCCGCCAGAGCCAGAGCCAATCCCAAGATCCCGAACGACCATCTACGACACTCCAAGACCTCCTTCCACCCTCGACCACGCTGCAATTTATCGATTCTGCTGATACCACTACTGCTGATCATCTTCTGAGCTTCTTGCCACCCGCACTACTTTTGCTGGCTCAGGGCAATGCTGAGGCTTCGGAAGCCGACACAGACCCGGAACTTGCCCAGGCTGCTCTACTATCCCTCGACCTCTCCCAGAAAAAGGATATTCTCCGAAAAGTGCTTCGTTCCCCCCAATTCATGCAAAGCTTGGCCAGTCTTACTGTAGCCCTCCGTGATGGTGGACTTCCGAGTATCAGTGAGGCCTTGCAGATCCCCGTGGCTAATGGAGGATTTATGCGGAGAGGTGGAGTACCCCTTGGTGGTGGCGATGCGGTAGATGCGTTCCTGGATGGCGTTCGGCAACACGTTCAAGAAAAGGATTCTCAGATGGAGACCGATTGAATTATAATCAGTATGTTTATTTTGAGATTTTGAGAGTTCAATGTTTCAAGATATTCCAAGACACATCTGAAAGTTGTAGAACTATATTTGGACTGAACCCCACTAGGCAACACAGTTTATGTTGTAAGGCTGCGTCAGCATCTGGTTAAAACCGATTGTAATTTTTATTTCAGAAGCTGAAATTACGGAGTAGTTATATATATAGTATGGAGTAACTAGTTAGTTATGTAGAAAGCAATTAAAAAATACGATGTATGTATAGCCCTACCGAGGTATGTCAGCCAAAAAAACAACCTTGACGTTCTAATGTAAGAATATCCATAGGCGCATGCCGGGACTTGTCCACTTTAGTGTAATTGCGATCCGGACGCTCTTAGCTCATTTTCAGCCTTGGAAGCCTGTCTCTTTTTCTTGATTTGTGTCTTGTATTCACACTATTTTCTGTTCCTGTATTATATATACATCTTTTTCCCGTCAAACACACGTGTCACCACCGTGTCCGAGAACTCCTCCGTTCGGCCTGCGATGTCTGCGATTCGTTAATTTCTGATCCTGCCCGACGATGGCGCCAGATAGCCAGTACCTTGATAATGACGAAAACGCTCCGCCGAACCAGATCCCTCTCCAAGATCTCTCGAAACCGGGAGATGCCCCTAACGAGCGCGGGAGAAGCCGCGCGGGGACGGGTCTCTTCTCACGACAATCATTGATCGGGAGGGGGTCGCGCAGTAATTATGAGAGTGTTGCAGAAGAGTCTCCGATCGATTCGGCTGCACCGAACAGGGATCCATTCCAACCGGCACAAACGCGCTATACAGAGATTGCTTCCCCACTTGATGACCTGGGTGGTTTCGCGCAAGCGATATCATCGGTTGGCCTCAGTTTCAATGGGCCACAATCAAGGGCATCGCCCCCGGGACCATCAGCAAGCCGTGGTTTTGACGATTCTGCTTCCGACCTTGACGTCGTACCTCTAGACACTTATGATCCCCACGACTCCCACGGCTACAACCCCCCAGCAGACGAAGATGATACAGTACGGTTGACCGATCCACGATATTTGCAACCAATGAGCGGTGCTGCTAGTGTAGAAGGCCGACATAGCACGGACACTGGTCACTCTGTGAATTTTGGTGGTTCAAGATTGGGCGATGATCTTCCTCACTTGGAGGATGGGATGGGAAGCCGTCGTGGTAGCAGTGTCCGGGGTCGATCGCGTTCTTTGTCTCCATCGTCGTCCAGCGGGGCTCTGCACCGGGCCGGCTCAATGGTCAAATCCATGTCGCAGCGAGTTGTCAATCTGAGTAACGAACCGGAAGTTGTACAGCAAACGATTGAGAGGGGGGAGCTTGATA